TTGGTTTCTGACCATTACCATGTATTTTAAGTATTTTACATTTTAAACACCTTTAAACATTCTTTTGTCATCTACCCCTGCTTTTGACGGCGATGAACATTGTACACATTACGATTATCGTCGCGAGTGTCATCAAGACAGTTTATCGTGATCAGGTGGGTCTACTTCCGGCTGCTGTGGGCGGGTGGGGCCTACACAGCCGCCTCCAGTGTGGCAGCCTTCTTGGGCAGCCAGACCAGTCGGAAGGCATCGGAGGGGATTTAGGAGAAACCCCCATACTTACACTGAAGTCTGTTCTGCTCAGCACCTACAGCCCAGCCGTGAAATATTACATGTGGTGGGCAAGCATGCGGTATTTCAGTTGTATTGTGCTGGTGGAAAATGTTTTCCTGCGAGTTGGTGTGGACTGGATTGGAGCAGGGACTGGATACTGTTGATCGTTCCGGTTGTTCTGAGATTTTATCCTGGTTGCGTTGAGCTCAGGTTGCAAAGTTGGGTGATGATTTGTACTATAGGATTGTCAGCTGGCATGGATAGGCTCCAGCTCGGGGATGTGGTGGCCGGCTAGGGTTGCGTCAGGAGTGAATGGCTGCATAGTCGAGCACCTACAACAGTACAGCACAGAATGTTGAGCTGTGCGTCTAGTCTAGGGTGGGTGGATCTGTTTGATGGGCTCATCACAGGTGATGGAGCTGGCGCAGGACACCTGTCGCTTTATTGCTCTCGACAAGGCGGGAGCTGTGGAAACTGGGTGCACCTCCAGAAGGGAAAAGCCGAAGCAACACTAACAGGCAAAGTGTTGGAGGGCATGGTTTGGCTGATGACAGTCAGCATGTGATATCTCCCAGGTCACGGAGAAGGACATGATGAGCTCAAGCCCCGATGCCTCTCTGAAGAGGCTGTCTACGCCCTGCCAGCTGCAAGACATCGACGCTTTCCTTAGCCACAGCTGGCAGGATGCATGTGGGCGGAAGTGGGAAGCGCTGCAGGCTTGGCGCAAGTCCTTCAAGGCCCACCACCAGCGCGAACCTCGTTTATGGATTGACAAGTACTGCATCGATCAGCAAAACATTGAGCACAGCCTGATGTGCCTTCCCGTGTTCCTGGCCAGCTGCCACACGCTTCTCATCATTGCGGGGGAGACTTATTTTGACCGCTGCTGGCCCAGGTTTAGAAAAACATTCTGTGGGGAAATTAGAGGCTAGATTGGTTGCGCTGCCCATGACACTGATGGCTCTGCACAATCCCCAATGTTCAAAGCATCACTTAAACTTGCAATCTCGAGCACAGTGCCTGGGCCTCCCTGTGGCCTGACAGCGGCAACCAAACCCCAAAGCATCCTGTGCTAAGCAAAGCCCCCTGTGGTCTGGCCATCTTCTCCGAGGCTGTACCGTAGCTGTATTGAGTGTTTGTTCTGGAGTTGAGGCTCGTAGAGTTGGCACGAAACCAGTCTGAGTCTTGTTTCAGCATAAAGGGTCTATCCTGGTGTTGACGAACGTTTGTCACCAAAGGGGTGGACCCTTCATGCTGAAACAAGACTACTTTCGTTCCAACGCTACGAGCCTCAACGCCAGAATCAGCCCTCTCCGTCCAGAGTTAGGACGAAAACCATGGTTTCTGGTGTTGACAAGCATTTGTCAGCACCAGAATGTGGGGTCCGCAGGAAAGTGATCCTGGTGTTGAGACGCACCTAGAGTTGGCATGACCGTGGCCCTCGAATGAATTTCTATATTCACTTTAGCTGTTTGTGTTTAACTGCTGTCAAAGCTTCGCAAGTGAAGTCCCTAAGACTGATACTAGCATGTCTCCAACACCCCCTCCCCAAGCACCTGCCCAGTACCTCCCCCCCACCTCCCCAGCACCGTTGCCAGCACGTCCCCAGCACCTCGGGATGCTGCGAGCCGTGAAAACAACTTGTATGGTGGGCGCACATATGCAGGTCGCCAACGTACCTGACCTCCCCCGTGTGGACAAACCCGTACAGAAATTAGATTTCTATCTTTCTATCTGGGCTCCAGACCCGTCTCAGGCTTGTGGTGTGTGGAGGAGGTTTTCGTGTATCTGCAGATGGATCGAAACGTCAAATCGATCGAGCTGCTGCCAATTTGCCAGAACCTTGCTAATCGCATCACCACCTTCGATGCCGAGAATGCCCAGTGCCACGATGACTCAGATCGTCAGAAGCTGCTGGCGACAATCGAGGCCGGCTGTGGTGACTACGAGGCCTTCAACACCCAGGTTCAAACAGCGTTGCTGCAGGCCTTGCAGGCTTCTCCTTGGGCGCCGCCGGAGTGAGAATAGATCGGAAGAGAGTGAAGACAGTGCCGAGACCTGCCCTGTTTCTGATCTATTTTAAAGGTCACATATGGAACGACCTTGTCTAGCAGCAGACAGGACTTGGCCAGGTGTTGAGCTTTAAACTTCAAGCAGTGAGGAGCGCATGCATATCAGGAAGGCCAAAACCTGCCTGCTTCGTTCCATGTGGCCCTCCGGAGCTCAAAAAACAGAACTTGCGATCCAGGGCATCGGTCACTCAAAGGATTTTCCCGTGTCTAATCTTTTTTTTGGCGTGGTCATTAATTATGATCCCATGCAAACTCTGTGCAAAATGCTCGGCGACTGGCGACTTTCAGCATGGGCAGAGCGCACTGGGCCCTGCATGGCGTCGGGACCTGTGCCGGCTTCCGACTTTTGCTGCAATGCAGTGTGTGCTTGCGGCCCGCATAGTCACTTGTTGTGTCAGTGTCGCGCACACAAAGATGACCATTCGCCGGTGCATATGAGGGAAGTTCTTGTCGATGCACTCACCCTTCAAGCTAAGGCTGCGCATGCACGATCGTGGCTGAATAAGCTGAAGGTAGTGTGACAAGAGTAGACGAAGCATGCTTTTCAAAACATAGCTTGAAGGGTCGGTGAGGTAACACTGGGCCAGAGCAGTCAAAAGACTGGCCTCGGGAATATTCTCTCAGAGTCACCTGGAATGCGCGCTGCATGGATGTACTCTACCAGGAATGCCTAGCATGCCAATGTGAAGTGAAGCCAATGCCGTGACCTGCTGTCGGCTGTAGATATCTTTTACGGCAAGTTACACCTGTGGCCTCGAGACGACGATTATTGGTACGCGGCATTTGCGCTATACGGAAAGCCCGATTGGAGTCACTGGATTCACGATTATGCCATCATGTTTCAACAATACCCCTAAACCCAAGCCAGACGCGAAGCCGAAAAACCTGAGCCCGAAGGACTGAAGCTGCTAAAGCCCTCGGCAGCTTAGCTTCATCCCACATGGCCTTGTTTGTCCATTCATTTATCGAGGACGCGTGAGTACAAATCTCACACACCGCTTCTCTCCGACCTTCGAGCCGAGAGTCGAACTTGACTTTTGGAAATTGGGGATTTGGTGCTGTTTTAGTATTTAGGGGCATGAAGCTTTCAGAAGACTACTTCCTGATGGTCCCCTATTTTGTAATGACTGGTTGAGCCGGTATGGTGTGCACGGGGCAGTTCTAGGGCTTCGAAACATTAGCGTTCATAGACAACGGACGCGATAACCGTTGCGTCAGATCTGTCGGACCCGTGAGGAGGTCCCTTTGAACTCTTGGGATTCTACGGGGGCGTGGAGCTGCTGTCAGATGCAATAATGTACTGTTAAGCTTTAAAACGTATGTGCACGGACTTAACACATACATATGACATATGTATACATACAAACATGCATGCATGCATATAGTACGTCTACGTATGTACTTCTGTATGTATGTATGCATGTATGTATGTATGTATGTATGCAAACGAGCCAAACACCAAGTTACTTACTTCCTTACACCTGCACACATGTGCAGGCTTTGTCATGTATGTAGATGTACGTATGTCTGAATGTCTGTATGTATCATATGTGTATGTATATGTATGTGTCCGTATGTATGTAAGTATGTATGGATGTAGATACGTACTTCGGTATACAATATAGAACAAGAACACCAGGTTACTTACGCAGGGTGTAGGCTTTGGTACGTGTATGTATGTGTACAAATGACAACAAGACCACTAGCGACACACACAGACGTGTGTAGGCTTCGGTATGCGTATGCATGTATGTATGTATGAAAATGGAGAAAATGCATGTTCATGGGTGTACGTATTTCTATATTTATTTCTTTATTCATTTGTTGATTTATTTATGCACCTACATGCACCAGGGTGCGCATGTCAACGTATTCAGTCATGCATGCGTGTATGTGTATGCATATACACACATATACATATATACATATATATATATATACACATTTGCATATTGTATATGTAGACGTATGGATGTGTAGGAGCCGTAAGAGCTTCACACAGCTCCGTGGGATCCCGGTCTAATCTCTAGCAAATTTCAGACCTCAGATGCCGGTGTCACGAGACTTGCAGGGTGCCAGCTTCCGAGTTTGCAGAAGTATATATAGTGTATATATACATGTATATATAGATACAGATAATATAAGGGTGGATTGGTCAGAAGAGTATCGGTATCGTTGAAAGGATATGCTAATTACAGGCGAAACTGGAGATCCCTTGCATGGCATAGCTGAGCCAAAACGGCCCTCCATCTCTGCATCGTCATATCACCCCGGCCCCACAGCGCTTCGGAGATGCGCTCGGGCTAGAAGTGTTCCGCAGTTTGTAAAGACGCAGCTGACTTGAGCAGACTGGAGGTCTGCGAGTTCGGCACTAAGGTGGGACGTCGGCAGAGGGGTCCGAAAAGCCTTAGAGAAGCCTGTTTTCATGTTACTGACGGAGTGTGCTAGACTTCCTTATCGGGATAGTAGCTACAACAGGTCGAAGAAGCATACTCTGGCGCAGTCGACCCAAACCAGTAGTTATGCAAAGAAAGAACACGGCTTCCTCAGATTCTTGGCATTCCACGTCGTATTGCCGCTGCAAAGGAGAGCTATCCTGATGACTAGTATTTTGAGATCTGATCAACAGCATCAGCCCGTATCTCCAGTCCCCAGGTGTCCGATGCGTTGCTGGCAGCTCTGCAGGAAGGCCAGGAGACCGAGGCCTTTTGATGCTTCGGCTTTGGTCTAGATTGGCTGCTTTGGGCATGTCATCGTGCATACCTGTCTGTCACTGTATATGCATGATGCAGGTATGCATGTCTGGGGGCCTGTGTGTGTGTGTGTCCATTTGTCTTCGGACCAGCTCAAAGTGTACATTCGCAGATGAATTTTCGAACTTTATTTATTTCATGATTGTACTATGTACTGTAAGCAGCACATGTGTGTAAATAGATGCAGACCCGATATCTACGCTCACGATAGTAGGCAAGGAACGACCAGACAAGGAGGTCAAATCTTGTGAGCATGACAAACATGCACGTCACACATCGCAAGTTTCAAACAGGTTGGTAAACCAAGGCAACAAGACTTTATGTCTCGATACAGCAGAAATTTTCAGGGACGACCCTTTTAGACATGTGTACATCTAAGTACGGGTGTGTATATATATATATACACACACAAACCAACACACAGATGCCACCACATGGTTCGGACGTATGCAACCACATAGATCCATGCGCATGTGACCGTCGCAGATATGGAGGTGAGTGGATGTACATACTCAACATATTGCCGAACTGCATCGTGAACAATCATTGATACCACACGCATTCGCCAGCCGCACATACCGCTAGCTCCATTTGAGAGCACAAAATTTTAGAAAATCTAGTACTTGCAACAAGGATAACGTATACTGTAATGCCGAACACAGCGATCTTGGAATAATCGAGGTATGCCGCGATTGCACGGCTATATCTCCGCATATGTATGCACAGTATTACACAGTATCATGTAGGAATGTGTGCGCGCTCAGTACTGCGTTGTAGCATGTGACCGAAAATCACTTTAAGCATATCTACGCGCTCAACATCCTTGGGCTACTATGAACTACGACTGATGATTTGCATTTCGGCACTGCTGTGCTTTCATTCGCGCTCGAACGCTCGACGCCTGCGTAGCGCAACTTTCAGCATATGCAGCAAGATGTTTCAGAATGTGCTCAATCCGAGAGTGGAGAACTTGCAGTTCTTGGCACATCAAGCATATCTTGAGAACGCAGAAACGGTGGAATGCATAGCATTTGTAGCAGGAGGTTCGAGCCAACCAACCTAGGAAACCATCAAAACCATATGTAAGAAGCAAACACCCCTTTGCGGCACATATTCTTAACGTGTACTTCTCTATGTGCACTTTATCTGCCTGTATACTGAGTTATAGGTGTATTTATGCAGATGTAAGTGTCTATCGGGTATTTTACGTGCATAAACATGTAGGTAGTAGGGAGGATGCGCCTACAGATATACATATAATTGCATACATGATATCATATAATATGTAAATAAATAAATGTGTGTATATATATATATATATGTATATATACATAATTTTATATTTATGCAGACACAGACACACAGGTGTATAAAAACATGTATACACATACACATACGTATACGTGTTTGGACACTCAAGCACGTGTTTACATATATGGTGTGTGCATATCTGCATATATTATGTAGAACTTGAAGTCTTTTCGTGTTGCACACACCCGTTCAGCAACAAAAACTACACTGCTCAAGCATACATACATACGCACACATACATACATACATACACGCATGCATTTTATACATATGTGCGTGTCTACGTAGACCTGTCTCTCTCTCTCTGTCTCTCTCTCGGTCTCTCTCTCTCTCTCTCTCTCTCTCTCGCTCGCTCTCTCTGTCTTTGTCTTCACTTTCTACGCACACACACACAACCACATAGTTATATATATATATATACACATATATTTAGAGATATAGATATGCACACATATACCATAATTACAAATGCTGACATAGATATATACATACCTGAATGAAAACAAATGATGCATGCATATATATATATATATACACACATCTACATATATATATATATATATATACACAGAGCGTGAGTGTTTGTGCACAACCTTTTCGTATGTTAGCGATTTCAAAGGGCTTGTGTGAGTTCTTAAAAGTTTTGTTTTAGGCATGTAGAATGTAGACAACTGAAGTAGGTATAAGACTCTTGCAAAATCCTGGCCTAAAACGCGACAAACAGCAAGCTTGAACACCCGGGCCTTCTGTATGTATCTGTTTATTGGTTTGTTTATACCTGCATACATATATAGAGATGTATGCACTGAAGTCTCGGGCATGTGGACATGACATTCTAGTGCATCGCACACACTCATCCAAAGATGTACCCCAATGTACACACACGGTTTGCCTGTTTCTACCACGAGCCATATGTGCCTGAAACACAACCTTGAACAGGTCAAGTTGTCCTACTTTGGGCACTGGGCCTGGTGCCAGAACGTGGGCAACTGCGAGGAGCTTCAGCTGGCTTGAGACAAGCATGCTGCCAGAAGGCGGGATCTTCCAGGTGTCTAGGCCCTAGGCATTCAGGGCTTCGTGAGAGCTTCTAGACGCTTGAAGGATAGAGGTTGATAAAAAAGTTTTCAAGTTTACCTTGCAACATACGCTCTACCCTATCTTTGCAAGATGCGGCAAAGTTTGCAGCGCATCAGGAGCCACTGGCAATGATGTTTCGCGAGTACCAGCAGGACTGGGCTGAGACAGAGGACAGCCTGAACGAGGTCAACTACCAGCGGCTTTTGGGGAGACTGCGCAGTTTCCTACAGAGCCCAAGTGGCGATGGCCGGGAGTTGATGCGAGCAGATCTCATTCTTTGCACCCGGCCTTTTCTTTTCTGCTCGCTTCTACGCTCTCTTTGGCCCGAGTCGTACCCACAGCTGCCTATGCTGCACTACTACAGTGGGCCGCTTCTCTTCGACACCACGCCATCCCAGATGCATGTGGTGCTACAGGCCTTTCGGCAGACAGTTCTGTCTTCGAGCCTCGATCTTGTCGCATCTCGGCAATTCACTCATCATGTATAATGTATTGGCAGAAGCACACGACAGTTCGGTAATGCGATTTAATGGAGGGGCGCGACACGTTTTGCTGCCGGTGGTTGCTGCATGCTTAGAGCTTGCGGTGTCCGTTCATGTCAAGGTATCTTCGTCTGCTCTGCAGAGTGCCTGGATGTTGGCCATGGCTGCTTGTCCATGAAATTAGGTAATACTCTGTGCATAGAAGGACGAATGTCCCAGTCCTTGCGCACATGCTGCCTCCAGAGCACTAGCTTCCCAAGCTAGTGTCATCTTTGGGGTAGCGAGCCCTCGAAATGGATGGAAAACCAACCGATGTAAAGCGCCAGCAGCAGATTAACGGACATCTTGCAGGACGCGCTGCCAAACAGGCCTACGAAACCACGTTGTCCGGCATCGGGTGGTCAACCCGCAAACTCCTGAAGTTAACCCTAAACCCTGAACCCTAAAACACCAAAATCCTAAACGCTAAAGCTTTTAAGGGACCCTTAGCGCAAGAAACAAAAGCTAAAACCCTTGAGCCCTACACCGTTTCATCCCTCGAGGCCGGCGTGGCTGTGCCGCATGTACGTCCTCATGCTGCTGGGCTCTGGAGTACCATGCTTGAATGCTTTTTCTGGACTTGTTCCTTACAAAAAGCAACTGTAAGCTCTACGCACTGAACCTCTACACCCTAAACCCCCTAAACCCTAAGCCCGACATCCGAAACCTTTGCAGATCCCTTAAAGGAGCCTTAAAGGGGCCCTTCAAGGATCTCGTAAACGAGCCCTTAAAGTATCCCTTTAAGGAGCCCCTCTATGGCCCATACTTCTCTTTCTCCCCGGTTCTTTCCCTCCAGGCTGTAAGCCTCCGCGGACGATACCGACCTCCAGAGACCAAGGCCGACCTGCCTGGGCCTACACTTCCCTACTTTTTCCTGGTATTTACCGTGCATATAATGCATAGTTCACGTAGAATGGTATAATATCAGTAGAATAGAATACAATAGAACAATACACTATAAAATACATTCTAGTACAATATATTGCAATGTAATACAGTATCTTGCAGTTCTATATACTATATACTTTTACTATATGTTATACTAGATTACGTTATATTGTATTATATGTTGTATTGTATTTCGAGTAACATAGATTGTATTGGGTCACATCAATATAGTATTACATATCTCTGAGACTGGGGTTGAGACTGTGTGTTCATCAGGTCTCATTTGCTGCATGGTTGCAACGGATGCTCGCGGTTTAGGTTTTTTTGCTATTCTCACATGTGTATGTACGCACGTATGCATGCATGCAGCACGTATGTATGTATGCATGTCTGTGCATGAACATAAAGACATTTTCTTCGAAAGTTAGTTTTGCCTCTTTGTTGACATTCTACATTGTTGCTGTCGAATTTGACTGAATCGGGGACTCGAGGTGTCAGGTTGGTTCTCGATGGGTCGGGCTCTTTCCGGTTCTCTCGTTCAGTGGCATCCCGCCATGCTGCCTTCACTGCATACAGGGGATACACGGCTCCAGCTCAAAAGCCCCACGACTCCTAAGTAGTAGACTAGGTAACCTTTAAGCCTTTTGCAGTACTACAATCCCCATTTAACCCCAAACGTTAATCAATTAAGTGGCTCCACACAAATACCGTGCATCTATAGAGTTGTATGCTAGCATGGACTTGTGTACATGCGTATGTATGTACCTACATGTACATGTACGAGCTTGCAAGCCGCATGCATTGTCGCAGTATGTCGCAGAGCACATTCCGTACTTTGAGCTGCAAGCTCCGATCCCGAACTCGTGGGTCGCAACCAGAGGCAAAGCACTTGGCCATGCGCGCGTTGGTCATGCGCAGCACGTGGGCTGCCAGGGCCTGTTAGTATGGGCGCTTAAATTTCAGCAAGGCCAATCGGGTTGGGGACATAGCAGACTGTGCTTTCATGAGGTTTTATTGAGGAGTTGTTACACCGTCGGGAACTGAGACTCTGGGATTCTATGCTGGAGCCGGTTGGAGACTCTGATTATATGATTGCATTGAACTGTGCTTCTGATTCTTGCCCTCGGAGTTTGTTGCTCATCATCGTTCACGCTGCTTTAGAGTTCAGAGCGTGCTGGTTTGGAGTGGCTTGTCACGGGGATTATGAGGTTTATAGAGTCTAGAACACTGTTTCTATTTGTGGAGGCCCAAATCTGTTTAAACCATGCCAGGAAGCAAGGGAGCAAAGTTTTAGTGCATCGCTGATGTACGAAGATGAAGCAACATTAAACACCACAGCTGCGTGTGCACATGTAATCACATGTGCATAGAGACGTATGTACACATGTGAGCAGCTACTTTCCTTGCTACATGCATAATGATATGTATACCTGCGTACAGACATGTCCATTTTACATATACATTTGTTCGTATGGAAACATAGCTGTGTACATCTGTGTATGCATGTGTTTGCACCCGTGCATGAGCAGCTCAGTCCATAAACATGTCCTTCAATGCAATCGACATGCACATGGATAGGGGTCTGCTCTGCCCTTAACCTCGTCAGCGACAGACTTCGAACCACAAAGGTGCAGCCCACCTCACAGCCGCTCAGGTTGGTACTCTGATGGCTCAAGCCTTTGAGGCTGTGCTGCGTGAGATGATTCGGGAGAGCTCGCTGGAAGAGTCTCTGCGCTTGGAGCTTTGGCTGTGTGGAACTCACTGCTAGCAGTCAGCAGGAGCAACGGCTTGTTGGTTCACCTGCGACATGCTTATCTCTTGTATCATCTTTAGCCCTCGCTCTTGCAGGATACACGAGCCGTGAATGGAGTGGCCACGAGTGGTCTGATGTTACCTTTGATAACACCCAATCACAAGAAGACGGGCTCATAACAAACGGATGTTCCGATTGAATCTGAATCATGCTGTCGGCAGCGCTGCTCAAGCCTAGTCCTGAATACGAGCAAGGCACGTTCAAGACCGCTTGTCTCGTGAATCAAAGGAGTGGCTCTCTTCCGGCAAGTTTCTCTCCTACGAGGCATGAGCACGATGACCTAGTCAAAGAATACTCATTGAGGTTGAGGGTTGAGGGTATTTGGAGTTGAGGGTCAGTGCATATCTGGTCTGCAGTAGAGGGGGCGCAGCTGAGCCACAAGCTGGCCGAAGAAGGAAATTGCGTCCTTCCACGCCGCGGTGTTCTTCCCTGAGCAGCCAGACAAGCTCACGCCACTTGATGGCTCATAAGTCTACCAGAGTCTACCAGTCCACCAGAAACAACGCGAGTCTTACTGGTGGGAACTTCTTGGCGACTTAGATGGAAAGCACATGTCAGTGCACAGTTTGCTGTATGCACGCCACGCATGTGCGTCTGCAACAGAACTCAGCGTCAGAGCTTTCAAGAGAGTCGAATGCTTCGCAAGTTCCTGGCATAATTCAGAACGCTCATTCCTAGACTCCTCCAGGGGACGATGTTGGCAAGTGCTTTCGTGCAACTTGATTAGTTGAGCTTGTCCCACGTGGATGCTTTGCATGGCCGCGAGTTTGTTGAAGTGGACGCAGCCGGGCATGTAACAGATAGAGGTGATGTACATGCATGAGAGTAAGCATGGGTGTGTAGGTTGAAAGCCTGACGATTTTGGACGGATGGATGGATGTACGGGTCGATGGAGGAAATGACAAACAAATAAGCAGATCGGTCGGTAGGTCGTTGGCCAGTCAGGTCTATGTGAGTCTATGTATGGCCGGACGGACCGGCAGACAGGCAGACCTGAGCCCCCAACCACGCTGGCCCCTAGATGTAGACCACAGATGACGACATACGACACCAGAAGTGTACGCATATTGTTTTCATTCATGGAGCCACTTTAGGACTCATCCGACTTAGGGCAGGGTGGTCATGTCCCGAAATGCGGAACTGTCCCCTCGTCGACTCTTGACTTAGGTTTTGGGAGCAGTATGAGATGGCGATGCCGCTTTGGTTGCCCACTGCAGATCTCTGGAGCAAGATCCACGCCATCGGCGAATACCGCTACTCAGAACTTCGTCTCGAAAAATCCGACATCACCAAGCCCGAACTTGGGACCCACCAGGTCCGCAATCACCTCAACCGCCATCGGCATTCACTTCTTAGCCACACATCTTCAGGTCTTCGCTGCTCGCTGGAATGCTGGCCTATCCGAAGGTGATGCTGCAGCCAATGGGTGCGGCTTGCCACAGCTGCACGGCACTGCTATTCTTTTCTTTCTTGTTCGTGTTGGTGGTGGGTTCGTTTGTGGGTGGGGCTTGAGGCAAGTTCGAGGTTCACCGCTACAAGGGAGAGAGTGCATGTCAGGACAGTGACGGAGGGGCAGTGTCTCTAGTCTGGTGCATGTAGGCTTCGAGGCATGACGGGGGTAATTACGCACGTAACATCTCGGATTTTACGGATTGCCTCAACCGCCTCAAGTGTTTTCGTCAGAAGTCGCCTCGAGGTCATTGTTCTTCAACTCCACGGCTCCTTGGCAAGTCGAAAGTGCGGGGGCCGGGGGGGTGGGGGGGACCTTGAGGCGAGCACAACTGAAGGCGCGAGTGGGATCCTGGCCTTGGGAGGAGAAGAAGAGTCGCAGGTATAACTTCTAAGAAGAAAACAATGGTAATCATGAGAAGTCATAACCATCATCATCATCTTCAGCATCTTAATGTGCGGATCAACGAAGAAGCAGCTCAGATTCGGGCAGCTCTGAGGCTTGGAGGTGGTGATTTCGGAACTTTGGTGATGCTGTGTTGCAGTTTCGCACAATTGCAGGTATGCAGGTGTGTGTGTGTGTGTGCAGCAGATACAGTCTTACACTTAGAGCTGTGCAGGGTTGTCATAGCCCCAGCTCACGAAGCACAGCCAGCCCTTGATTTTCTTTCGGCAGCTGGGAGCTCAAGGTAGGATGCGACCAGACACAGGCTCCCTGCATGGTGAACGAGGCAGAGCACAAGAGACCACACCGCTGCCCAGTAGTTGCAGTGTTGTCATGAAGCGACCCACCCAACGATGCATTCTATATCAAGTCTCACCGAATCTGTACACAACGTATTATTGCAGTTGGGCGGTGCACATGCTCCCATGCCGGGTGCTACCGCGTCAGCTTCGCTCGCTTCATTTGCCACAAGTCGCGCTTCGCGCGGCGCTGGCCCTGGCTCACCTACATCAAACGCCTCAGTCGACATCCTTGATGTACATGCTCTCGAAGAAGCCGACGTGGTGTTGCTTCTCTGCGTTTATTGTTGGGCATTTGGGTCTTTACACGGATGACCTCATCCAAGTGAGCGTGCCATCCGTATTTATATATGTATATATGTATGTAAACACTCTACTATGCTGTACTATTCTGTTATATACTACACTATACTAGATTACATAATTATTATGTCCTAATTTTCTTAGTTGAATATACTGCATCGTACTATAGGCTACCATACTTTTGCTCTATTCTATAGTTTTTCCTATATCATATTATGTCATATACTGTTATATCATATTACAACGAACTACATCATACTGTACTCATGTATTTTATATCCCTGAATATCAGATGTTACAGCCGGGGCAGAGGCTCCCAGCTATGCACGAGACCCTTGGAAGTCTTGTCGTTCATGTATTGCCTTTCGTTTCCGAACGAAGCTCCGGCCCTTAATCGGAGGTCCTCTCGCCAGGCCCATGACGGTAGAAAGTGGCTTTTGAACTTTTGAAAGTCTTGGGGACCTTTGCTAGGCATTCGAGCAAGTTGGAAGCCTCCAACCACACCATGAGCGGGAAAACCTATGATCCGCCGGTGCAGAAGATTCCGTTGTGGATGCGATGGAGAAAGTTCTGGGGAGTACTGGCGATAATTGTCGCCATTGTGGGCGTCAGCATCTACAACCTAAATGCGTCAGATGCGTCATTACTAACGCACGCACGACAGTCAGTGAGATACCTTGCAAAATCGCATGCAGGTGAGATCACACGGCAGATTCGCACTTCTGTCAGTTCTCTCCAAGCACTCGAGGGTTTCGTCATAGTTGATGGACCAAACTCCAGTTTCGAAGAGTTTGACGTGCTGGCAGACATCCTGATCCGAACATACGGGGGCATCGCGAACTTGCAGCTGGCACCATTTGGAAAAATCCAACGCGTGCATCCGTTGGTTGATGCAGACCAAGATAATCGGGCAGCACTGGGTCATGCTCTTCTGCTCGATCCAGCCCGCAAGTCGGGTGCACTGGCAACAATAAAGGCGCAACGTACCGTAGTTACTGGGCCCCTCAGGCTTCTGCAAGGCGGCATTGGTGCGATCGCCCGTCGCCCGATTTTCTCCAGCAGCTCTCCCAAATATTTACCTGATGACTGGTGGGAGAGAGATGGTGTCAACTATACCAGAATCTGCTCAGTACCAGAGCTGCGGGATGAGAATGAGTGCTCGTTTCCGGGTCCTCTTGACCACAACGGCTTGCAAACGTACTTCTGGGGATTTGCAACAATGCTGACACGCACGCAAGACATCCTTGCGACGACCCACCTGTCTTCACTGGAAACAGGAGAAGACGGAGGCGTGGCTGGAGTCTCGCAGTTTGCCTATGAGCTCTTCGATCCAAGCCCGCACCCGTCGCTAACCGATGTGGGGGGCGTTTGGCAGAGTTCGGTCAGGACGGACTCACTGATCGATGCCGTTCAAGCGGATGTGTCTGTTGAAGAGTTTGATCTTCACTGGATTCTGAAGGTCGCGCCGCTAGAGGGTTGGCCCGTTGTCTCTGAAGACTTCTGGAGGCAGGTGCTTCTGGTGCTCCCGCTTACAGCGATGCTCGGCGTTTTCCTCGGGGTGAACATCATCTTCGCACTGCGCCGCCGAGCGATGAATCTCAGCAACTCTTGGAAGTCTGTTTGTGTAGTTCTGAACAACCGGCTGAAAGAGAACCGATCACGAATTGTGTTTCAGTCAGTAGGGCATCGGGGTGGTAAGGCTTCAGAGAGGCAAGAGAAAATTCCAACACCCACACTAGGCCTCATGAAGCCGTCGACATCGAAGTTGTGTGTATATGTGAGTATACTTACATCTACACACATACATACATACATACATACATACATACATACATACATATTATATATATATATATATATATATATACACATGTGTGTGTGTGTGTGCGCATTTGCGTGCGCCCTGAAGTCTTCGTCAAACAGAAAACGAGTTCTTTAGCCATGACTCCATCTGAAAACTTATGTGCTGGCTGTAGCATTCACTACATGAAGACCACTCACATGTGCCCATCAACAATATACTGTACATAGCCATGCCATCCTATTGTGAGTCACATCTCAACGACCAACGACTCATGCGCTCTTCCTTGTCTCGAGCGACAGCAGTCCCTTTGCACGACAAGACCTGTAGAGTTCCACTCGTGGGTTCAATCACTGCCCACGAAGTCCGGCACACAGCTCCTTCAAAACGGATGGAAGCCAGAACTCCACCGCATTATGTGTTGCTTGCCACCCTCCACAGCTCAGGACGATGCAAGACTTCGCCAACTACCTCGTAGACCAGAAATCCGATACGATTCGTGGGGCAGTGCAGAACTTGAACACCTTCCAATTTCCCATGTATTTCGGCTTTGAACTCAGAATCTCCGAATTTGAGGTGTTTGAACTTTCTGTCTCCCTGCATCTGCCTAGCTAGGCACTTTCCACGAGAGGGGCTGGTGCGATTGTAAAGTAATGCCCCTATAATATAGTACCCTTGTAGACCCCTTATAGTAACCCTTATACAGAGCCCTTTAAAGGGAAGCCTATGGCCCCGCGTAGAGCTCTTGCCGCTCTTTTGGGAAGGCTGGAAAGCAAGTGAGTGCTAAGCGTTTATTCAGCATCTTCTTCTGTCTTGAGAGATGCAGCATATAATCCACAAGGAGTTTCACAGCTACTTTGCTTGGTTCGTTCTGCTGCCTCTGCGTGGGCCGGTGATGTTGGACAACAGTGGCCGAGTAGGGTTCGCAACACCTTCTAGTCATCGGTGTTCGACATATGGTGTTTCAAAGAGCCAACAGAAAACGTCATAGTGCAGCACTCGTAACACACAAGCTCAGATATTCTGTCGTCTTGCATCCGGCAGTTTGTGCGGTACCGTCGGTAGTTGGGTTTCCGCTGTTCCATGCTGACTACACGGATCGCGAGCTTGTCCCCCTTCATGAATCGTTTGCTGAGCGCTGGATTTGCTGCTCATGGTGTCGAGACACTTCGGTTAGGGGGCAAGGCCCACCTGAATGATGCAACTACTTAGCACAGGCAAGAAGCAGGTCCTGTGGAGGCACGCGTTTTTTTGTAGAAGCAGGTATCTCGTGGAGCTCAAGACTTTCTTCGAGATGGGCCGGTTGATCTGTCACGAAGCGGCACGGGATGCCGCAAAACTCTGCTGTTTTGACCGACCTGAGGATGTCAAAGCCATGTCCGTGCTGTCTGGTGTGATCTTCATAAGCCACCAGTGGGCTGGCTTCGACCATCCGGATCCCAGAAACGTTCAGTATGATGCCATCCTGGTGGCCATTAGGGGCTTGCAGGACAAGGGCCGCAAGTGTGGGTACATTTGGGTGGACTACACCTCGATACCTCAGGCAAACTCCTTTCAACAGCAGGCAGCTATTAACTCCTTGTCAGTGTACGCTTCTTTGTGCTCATCACTCGTGTCGGTGGCCCCCAAGTGCAGGCATGTAGACACTGGAACAGAGTTAGACATGAATTCTTACTTCTCGCGCGGGTGGTGCCGGCTTGAATTACTCAGCTTCAAGACCGGCACTTGTGACCTCGGAGAAGACATGCGATCCGTTTACGTCTGTGATGGGCATACATTAACCAGTAGCAGTGAGTCGGCCGATGTCCTCTCGGATGAGTCCGTCCTGCACGTGCTTGGGGGCACATTTACCTGCTGCTCCCGCTGCCATCCTGGTAATGTGCCATGCGACCGCCAGAAGACCAAAGATGTCCTGCTTGGCATATACTGGCGACTCATGGCGATAAGAAGGGACGGGAACATCGAATGCGCGCTGTGGGCAGACAGCATGCTGCAGACTGTGAGGGCTGAGACAGAGAAGTATTTCCCGAGCAACCTGACGTACCGCACAGAGGGTGGCGAAGAAACACAAGAGCATTTCTCCGGGTATCTCCCGATTTTGCACAAGATGTTTCAAAACGACACTCAGCTAGAGCATGATGTTCGGCTGCGAGTGTTTGGATAAAGTGGGAAGCACGTGTTGGGATTGTAAACCCTTCGCAGTTAAGCAATTTTGATATGGCTGGCTGTGGTTTCCAGCTTGAACTGGCTCCGCAGCTTGAGCCGATTTGCAGAGGACAGGCTAGCAAACTTGATCATTGACTGTGTTGTGCTTTAGCTGTTCGGGCCTTCAACTTTTCTCAAATATCTGCTTTATCATCGAACAGCGCCATGAAGAAGAGATTTCAGTGCACACGTCTGTTACCAGATATTCACAGGCATTCCGCTATCTACGCATCGTGCTCTTATTCATGGTGCGACCAAGCGAGCAGACACAAGTGCAACAAATTGCGGCATTCGACTGATGCAATTTCGTTCGAAGCAGTGGTGCTGATGCCGCTCACCACCTAACCGCATGAGGTGCGGCTTGCGAGAGCCTTGTGGCAAGCACTGCGCCCCTTGCTGGCTTTGCTTTTCCCCGGTTTCTGTCGAGCTGATGTGTGTATAATGTGTCACAGAGACGGTGGATGACCCCCCTCACCTAACTTGGAGTCTTCCTTCCTAGTGTATAGGGAGGTTTGTAAGGCCCTTCTGCCTCCTTGCGCCAAACACGGACCTCGGTGGGGGGGTCGCTTCGAGTTGAACTAATCGCAATCTGCGACACGCCCCGGATACCATTTCCATAAATTTTCCACGCCTGTGCAAGCTCTCGAAAGTAGTTCTGTAAACTTCGATTTCACAGTGTGCTCTTCCATCGATATTCCTGCCAGCTGATACCAGTAGTTCTTTCTCGGCTTGCTTTAGTTGCCGAGTGTAGTGTGATTGACCCTCGGAACGACTGAAGTGTTCGCGACAAATTGTTGCAGCCGTCATGTAGCTTTCAGACTGCCTTCTGGTGATCCTGGTTTGTCGTGCTCGGTCGGTTCTCGGCACTCGGGTCTGTGGTGGTCGGGCTTTTTCCAGGGATCAACACATGGTGTTTTAACCAGCAGATAGAGTATATGTAGAGGCTTGCACATAGACACAGGAAATGGGTGACCATCTCTGTCACGGCATGCTAAGCATCGCTGTGATTTATTTGTTCGCAAGCAGGAACCTTTGGCCTTGGCCAGGTTAACCTACCGCGAAGCCCAGCGTGATCCGAAAATCATGTGTGAATGCAGAGCGCATCCCAGCATCAGACAGCTCTAGTGGCAAGTTCGATTCGGCTCTCGAATATCGGAGGTTATGACATCCTCGGAGAATGCGGGTTTCGAAGTTGGAAGCGGCACGTTTCTTCAATCAGCTTCTGCCAAGGACCCCATGGACCTACACAGCGATTCCCCTCTGGCTCCGGCGTTTTGGTATCCCGTTTGCAACACCTGCAGACACTACTTCGCAGCTGCTGCTCTAATACTACTACTGCTGCTACTACTACTACTACTCCTCCTCCTCCTCCTCCTCCTCCTGCTGCTGCTGCTGCTGCCGCTGCCGCTGCTGGTGCTGCTGGTGCTGCTGCGACGACGACTACGACTGCGGCTGTTGTGTTCTACTACGACTACGACCACTACCACTGCTATGACTACTACCTGCTAGTACTAGTACTAGTACTACTGCTACCAATCAGTATTCCAACCCCTCAAACGTTTGGCTGCGGTCCCGGTCCGCGCTTACTACTAATCCTGGCCAGGGGGAGGGAGGAGGGCGGGGGGATCTATTGATCAAAACCCCAAGTTCTACTACTACTACTACTACTACTACTACTACTACTACTACTACTACTACTACTACTACTACTCCTACTCCTACTCCTACTCCTACTCCTACTCCTACTACTACTACTACTACTACTACTACTACTACTACTACTACTACTACTACTACTACTACTACGAAGGTTGAAGAAGAAGCGGAATAAAGTAGTCGTAATAGCAGCAGTAGGTAGGACCAGTAGAAGCTACCAGGAGTAGAGTCGTAATAGTCATGTTCAGGGTCTAGTTCTACGCCTGGACATGCGACCCAGCTGCAAGCAGGAGTAGTCGTCGAAGCAGCGGTGGTTGTTGGTGCTTCCCTCGAATTTCGCCGTGTCAGGCTCTCGTGTCAAAAGATACAAGCTTAGTTGTACACTTCCGTTCAAATTCAAAGGGCACAGTGGCCAGTAAGTCTTACGCAGTACTTGGATGCAATAGCTGGGCCGGGGTTCGTTGTTTTCACTGTTATCGGCTATACGGCTATACTGTTGGTTGTGTCATTGTGCTGATGATATCTTCATCTCCAGGTTTCAACTCACCGACTACGCCCTGTTCCCCCACCTGCAGTTCTTTGCCTCTGCGTCCGAGCTGGCGTCGGGCTTGCCACTGGGCTGATTCCAGATCGCAAGTCGCGTAGGTCCAGGATCAAGTTCCGACTGCTTGCTGCAACCATGGTCAGTGTAGGATAACTCATGGGTGTTCCCGGCACATCAGGGATCGGTTTTGCTAGGGGCTTCCAACAAACAAACACGAGGCCCTTCTGGGACAATTCATGCAAGGTTCATCAACGACTTCCTAACCCTTCGAACCTCGAATCAGGTTGGGGGCGGATTTGACTGCCCTTCACGAAGCCATGGCCGGGAAGCCCAGAACTACTCGGGAGCTCTGCCCTGCCACTAGCAGCCTGGGCTTTGAGCTCTCCGGAAAGCAGACCCTAACATATCAAAGTAGAACAGAGAGTAGGCAGCGGAAGCATGGCCCGAAAGCAAGGCAGCCCCTTACTCGAGAATATCTGACACACTGCAGCAGTGGGTGCCACAGCCTCATGACATGTCTAAGACATGTCTAAGTACTGTGTGCCCAGTCTGTGCTCTATGGGACGGGCTCCAGAAAGGCGACGTTCAACATGGAATCCTGGCGCCGCTCCTCGAGCTTCTACCGTGCAGCGCTTCTTGGCCGACAGCCTCAGGTCCTCCCTTTGCTTGCCTCCCACAGTGAAATCTGCCGATGAGCCATTCTGGCCACCAACGTGACAATGTGACTACAATTAATGCAGAATTGTAGCGGAATGCTTCGGACCAGAAAGGCTTGACTTTGCTGAGCTGTCTCTGGTAGTGGCTTGATGAAGTCAGCGCTGGTCCGGTGGTCCAGAGAGTCCAAAAACGGACTAGGAAAGTCTGGCCCTGATCAACCGACAAGGGGTCCCTGTAGAATCCACCAGAAGGCATGCTAAAAGCCAGCACGCAGCTTGTTGGGGATTTTGGGGTCGGCTGCATTGACGAGTCGCGGGTCGTTGATTGCCTTTGGGTGCACCCGTGCCAGCTGCCAGAAGAGGTTCTGCTGAGGTATTTGGTACGTCGTTCCTCGTCCGGGTGCGAGGTTTTGCCCATGCGCTGTCAATTGGCCTTGTATGAAACTTATGTGCTTTTTCTTCGTCACAGTCTTTGATGTGATAGTTCAGATTACCACTAGTCTTAAGACGCCCCGCTTCTGTCAACGTTGGAGAGCAGTCAAACAACTAATCTGTAATATTTAAAGACATGTAAAATAAGAGTGACAAGTCGCCCTGCTCCTGGCAGCCAAGGATCTGCGTGTTGATGGAGGGCTCCGAGACTGCTCTGACACCACAGTTCCTTCCACAGCCAGCAGAAGACTGGGCCAAAGTCTGCTCATGAGGAAAAGTCGCTCGTGTCACGGAAATCCAGAAGCTGCTCTGTTGTTGTTTTTGGAGCCCAGCCAGGATAAGTGGTTTCCTCTCAAGCAGAGGGCATGAGAAGCCGGGTCGTACAGGGCATCTTGCAGGGAGGTGAGAGACCCCTGTCAAGGCCCTGTCAACCACAAGCCCTGTTCTGCCGGACAGGGGGCCATCAACGATCCCCCCGAGTGCGCGCACGTCACGGACTTCTGGACCAGCCACCACGAGTGCGTCGGAGCCTGTGGATCTAGCCTTTGGAGTCCCTTAGTCTAGATGCTGGTGGTCGTAACTATCTCATGGTTGGATCATTCCCGGTGTCATCGATATGGTTGCAGCGACCAGACATGGTAGTGATGGTGGTGGAGGCAGTGGTGGCATTGACATCGCGTCCTTCCGTGGCTGCAGCAGCAACAGCAGTGATGTATAGCAGTCGTCGTCGTCGTCCGCGTGAAACTGGCAGCAGTACCGTAAGTACAGACGCCATGGTAGAAGCAGCAGTAGTAGTAGTAGTAGTAGCTGGAGTAGCAGTAGTAGTAGTAGTAGTACTACTACTACTACTACTAGTAGTAGTAGTAGCAGCAGCAGCAGCAGTAGCAGTAGCAGTGGCAGTAGCAGTCGCATTCGCTTTCGCAGTCGCAGTAGTAGCAGTAGTAGCAGTAGTAGCAGTAGTAGCAGTAGTAGTAGTAGTAGTAGTAGTAGTAGTAGTAGTAGTAGTAGTAGTAGTAGTAGTAGTAGTTTTAGTAGTAAGAATAGTAATAGCAGCAGTAGCAGTAGCAACAGCAGTAGCAGTAGCAGTAGCAGTAGCAGTAGCAGTAGCAGTAGTAGTAGTAGTAGTGGGAGTAGTAGTAGTAGCAGCAATTAGCAGTAGCAGTAGTAGTAGCAGTAGCAGTGGTAGAAGAAGTGGTAAGTAGTGGTGATAGTAGCAGGAGCAGCAGCAGCAGTAGCTAGTGGCTAGTAACTGGCAATCGTAGTAGGAGTAGGAGGAGCAGCAGCCTGAAGTTACAAGTAGCAGCTAACAGCACTTGCACGCCCTCGTCGTCGTAGTCCTCGCCGTCGTCGTAGTCGTGGTCATGTCGTAGTAGTAGGAGCAGCAACAGGAGTGGTAGACTCCTAGCCCTCACCGAAAGTTAGCAGCTGAACTAAACCAGCCAGGTCGCGCCCGTGGTCAAGGTCAAAGCAAACCACTTCGCCCAGGACTCGGCTGCGCTTGAACTTTGCATTCATGCATGACGATCAGTGATCTCATCAGGTAGTCGTTGTGCGTTCTGTTTTTGTTTCATGGGCTATCTGTCAGAGCGGACAAACTGACGGAGGCTTCAGGAAGGCTTCTTCGATGTTCAGATATCGATTTGTCTAGACTCAGAAGCATCTGCTGGCAATAACAAGACGCTACGATGATGCGTCGACAGACCTCGGTCGCGGGCCCAACTTGGAATTAGCTGGGAATGTGCAATACACGGCAGATGTTCAACTAGTCCAGCGCTGGGCTGCACTGGGCGAATGTAGAATGGAGACTTTTGCTCTGCAACACCTCCGAAACAAGGACCTAAGCCGAGCGACACCCCTTCATTCATTAGCAAGCGCAGTTCAGCTGCTCGCCTGTGGGCGCTGCACTAGTCAGGCAAATTAGCATAGGCTTGCAGACCCTTGTCATTTGGGTAGTTGTCAACATTATGACCCGTTCTCGGGTATCCTAAATATTAGGTGTCTTATACTAATAAGGACCGAAAAGAGGCCATAATTTGACAACCACCAATTTGACAACTTTTCGTGCTCCTAAGCTCCGCCTGCACGGCCCCCTGCAGGACTGTTGGGATCGTTGCAAGATCGGGGGCGATTGCGCCTGGTGCGGTTTCGGCCAAGCCTGCTGTCGGATACCCAAAACCCGTTTTGAAGTGCTGGACATTGAAAGTCGTGTGAAAGTGTTCCTCAGTTTGTCTGCAGTGTAACAGGTGTTGTGTTGCACGGATTGGCTTCAGGGCTTTCGGCGTGCTTGCAGTGAGCGACAGGAAAACCGCAAACCTAGCTGAGTCGCTGTTGCCTGACATCGCATGTAACTGTTAGAGTACTTAGATATAAGTATAATGCAAACAACACCTTGTAGTGTTACGTTGCGCATGAGCACCCGGGGCCGAATGTGGCGAAGACCTATTCTTGAGATGCTTGAAAGGGGCATGTCCCACTTCGAGGCCAACGCGAGTTTGTGTGTGTGTATCTCTGTGTCTCTATATCGTATCTATTCATTAGAGTGGGGGTTTAGTGTTGTGGAGGCATGGGTGCAGGTTATGGGCTGCTGGACCCCTGCTTCTATGCTCGTGGTCTTGATTTGAATCGCGCGCTGCGGCAGTTAACGCTGTGCAGAAAGGTCGAAAGGACAGCACGCTGGATCCGCCGGAATGCTGCTTGGCGGTGTAAGCTTGTCACGACGCTCAGCAGTTTTGATAGTTGCACCGGCAACATACTGCTACAGTACTACTGCAACTACCACTACTGCTGCTACTACTACAATTTCACTACTACTATTCCTACTACTCCTTCTACTCCTGCTGCTCCGGCGACTCCTACTATTCCTGCTACTGCTAGCCCTGCCCTTGCCCATGCCTCTGCCCCTGTTTCCAGCTGAGAACATGTACTGGCACAAGCACCAGTACTATACCGCTGCTGCTGCTGCTGCTGCTGCTGCTGCTGCTGCTGCTGCTGCTGCCTCCTACTGGCACCACCACTTTCACGACGACGAAACGGCAACAGGAACTGCGACTACTTCAACTGCAACTGTGACGTTTGTAGTGGTAGCGATCTTGTGGTTCGGTGTCGTTGCTTGTTGACGATGTGCTGGTCGTGGGTAGCTGCTGTTGTTGGGCAGTTGCTGTTTTCGTCGGCGTTCTTACCTTCGTCGATCTCCCACCATGCCGCTGTATTCGTGCTTAGCAATACAAGTATTTATTTTTTTACTGTCATCACGGCATACGGGCTTTAGCACTGGATTGGTTCCACGAGTGTAGCGGTGGGAACATGACAACAGCTGCAGCGCCTGATAGCTCTCGGGCTTCCGCAGAATGCCCGGTGCCCCGACACCCCCCCACAGGCAGAGGCGTGGTCGACTGGCCCACAGATCGCCTATGCCTCAGAATCTCTCGAATTGGGTGGCTCGCCCCGACATGAAAGCAGACTAATCGTTGCCATCACAGATATGTTCATTGTGCTACGGAGCAAGGACATTTACGAGGAACCGAGGGCTCCCCTCATCCTGAAGTAGAGGAACTGACTAGCACAGGACTGCTAGATCCTGTCCCCGACTTCTGAGCTGTGTACCAACGCGGACATCACAAGACATCCGGAATTCCAACCTACAAGACTCGATCAGATTGTGTGTGCAGATGAACACGAAAACCGGTCCTGGATGCCCACATGGTTGAGAGATCATCTGTCGCGGTTCATATGCATACTTGGGGGCCACATGGGTGGTCGTCAAAATTAGGGTCCCTTTTGGGCTCATTATTTTTAAACGGCACCTAATATTTAGGGTACCCAAAAAGGGACCCTAATTTTGACAACCACCCACATGGAGGTGGACAGCATGAGGGTTTTGGAGCGAGTGGCGTAAAGAGATGCATCGTGGCTAGAACGAGGGGGTTCGTTTCCGTACGAACATAGAGATGGCACTCTAAAGCTTACTTGCAGGCTCCAGAATTCGTCATCTAGACCCCAGACCGCAGGCTCTCAGCAGTTCATGCACAGAACGGTCCAGGTCATCACACCTGCATCAAGCCTGTACATGACGTTCCGGTCAAGCACGAAGGGCAGGACCCGACCTCCGTGTCATGACCGTCACATGTCGCTACTACGACATAAAACCGGTGCACATCGCACTAAGCATCTCAAGCAAGCCAATTCGCTGGGAGTTGTGAAGCGGAAGCATCAAAGCTTCAAGACCTCTGGACATCACCTCAAATGCATCTTTAATGTGTGATGCATTCTGAGAAGACAGCCTGGCAGCACGCAGGATTGCTTTGACTACTGCGAAGGCAACGGTCCATGCAATTGGTGTCGGTCTCAGACTGCTGACATGTCAACAGCTGACTGCGCATCCAGCTGGGCTGTAATGTAGATCCCCTGGTCAATAAGCCCCCGCTCTTCAAGGGCCATAATATGAGGCACATCCCTGTGCAATCCGATTGAATGTAGAGGGTCTGTTGCTTTACTAGTCGGGGGTCTACCTTAGGCTTCGCTCCAGGTGTGGTCGGGGGATGGCTTGCTGCAAATACGGCGACATCTACACCACCCACGAGTGCCGAGCTGTGGCTTCCTGGAGTCAAGCAGATACAGGGACCTTTCTTCGGTGCGATGATCCTTATATCGTAACTCCATAGGTTAACTTTTAGGTAGTTCTCCTTCGAAATTGGACAAGCAAGAAAACTTGGCATGTGGTCAGCCGGGGATTTGTTCAGGAAGCTTACTTTCTAGTGGTTTCCCGAGCCTGGGGTTGAGGAATTGTTATTGCTTTTAGGGTGGAGGCTTGGTGTTTGGGTCTCTTCGTGTCGCGTCTCGATCACCCCGAAACCCTCGACCCAAATTTGAACTCAGGTCTACTACTCCTCAAGGGAGCCGCTGGGCGCAAAATCAGCTGGCACAAGTAGTGGGTGCAAGACTGGACAGTTCGGATTTGGCTGACCTTAACCACCAAGCCGGGCTGTACGATAAAGAGGCCCAAAGACATGAATTACACGGCTCCTCGTGAGATGGCTCCAAGACTCCAAGCTACATGGGGTAGCTCCAGGGAGACTATGACACAGGCACCACGTCTGCGTGAAGCCGAGCTTCAAAGACCCAGCCTCCCTTCCGAAGCCAATTGGGAAGAGGCAGATGGGGCTGCAAAGTAGCTGTGATCTGGGCCATCGCAGCAGATTGTTGAGCTTTGGGATGTCAGGCAAGAGTTTCTTTCATCATGGATCTATGTGCAAACCAGTCCGGTTGAACCTGGAGTGTGAGAGTGCTTCCTCAAATGACAGACCTTGTAGGGGCCAGGCTTTGGCAACGGGTCGGACAGTGCAAGGCAAGCTACGAACGATTGTATTGAATTGCAAGTGCTTTGCAACTCTGCGCGCTAGTATTGTGAACCTTATAGTACTGTACAGCGGCATAGCGCTGCTTGTAGTTTTGTCTAGTGCCTCTGCCGGCCTGCTGACACGCATGCAGTCCGGACGAGCTGCCATCAGAGTGTCCGGAAGGCCACTCGCCCGGCGGCTTGGCTGTTTTGCAGAGCCTCTTCGGGATGTGCGAGGTGTACACATGTCTCGAAGTGATAATGAAGGAGTTGGGGAGACCCGTCTCAGGAGTTGGGGCCTGGAGTGCGCTGGCTGCGAAACCGTACATGATGCCCCTAAACCCCAAGCCTTCAACCTGTACCCTATACCCCTGAACCCCGAACTCAGAGCCTAGCATGATAGTCTCAGGGCCGATGGGCTGCGAGCTCGATGATGGCCCGCGTCTGCAGACTTTCTATGTCTACAGGCGCAGCCTCGGTCAACATCACACCCATCATAGTTCATCCAGCTAATCAATAATAGTCATAATCATCATAAGCAGCAGCTTGTAATGATCATGGTTACCATCCGCATATATCTGCATCAAAATCACAGAACTTGCAGCTGACTGAAAGCGGGGGTGAAAGAAGTGCCAGGGCCTTGAAGGAGGAAGACAACCTCACCTCCAACTTCGATGCCATGAGCATGAGTGGCCCGGCTGAAGTCTGGCTTCTTGGTGTTCTTAAGGGACTCCGAGGTTCGCTTCCTGTCGTTCTTTGGGGTTTCGGAGTTTAGGGGTAGGGGTTTAGGGGTGTGGGGATGGGGGTGTTAAGGGGTTTTAGGGTTTGGACTCAAAGCTGCAGCTGCAGGCGGCATTCTCTACCATGTTCAAACTGCGGTTCTCGGCTGCCCTCGCACCGGCGAGATCACTAGGCAGAGTTTGATTGCAACATGTGTCAGAATTTGGGTGCAAGCTCAGTCTGGGACTGTTGTGGCTGCGTTGCGTGTGCAGGGAGCTTGCTTCACTCCGGGGCTTTGACGTTGCATCAGATTGTAAAAAGGTTCTTCCTGGAACGGACCCTAGACTCAGTTGCCGGTGCAAAGCGCGCTACGAGGACATCGAAAGCTACGGGCTTCCACGTGTTACACTCTCGGCTAAGACTCCTGTACCCCCTGCGACGCCAGGTGCGGATAGCTCCAATCACTTACGGAACGAGTTCCCCGTTGAGCCATCATTCAACAGTCCCGGCGCTCAACATTATGCCTGAGGGTTTCTTGATATAATTAGTAACTGTCGCATAGCGAAACCCAAACCCAAAACCCTAAACCTTAAACCCAACTCCAAATTCTAATTATTTAAGGCCGCGTAGGAGTTCAGGCCTGCAGATGTTGGGGTCTGCAGTTCCCCTGTGCAGGATCAAGCGCCTCAAGGTGACGATGAAGAACACTCCTGAAGCTTACAGGACCGCCCATACTAGCAAAGAGATACCTGTGCTGCGGACCAGTCTTCTCTGACATTCTAATTATTAAGGGCCCCCATAATAAGCCCCCATAGTATGCCCCCCATATTAAGGGCCCCCATAATAACCCCCCCCCCCCCCCATAATATCCCTTATAGTAAGGAGTTGCTGCTCGTGACTTCAAGCCCACAATCTCAGCTGTGTTGTTCCCAAAGATAAAGTGCCGTTGGCAGGACGTTCAAGACGCAGTTCGCGCCGCTGCTGTCTTACAGGAGTTCGACCTGAAACGATCTTTTCTTGCCCCCCCTATGCTCTTCTGCACCCTCCGCCCCCGATTCTTGAAGTTGAATCTGCTTGGCTTGGGGCGTTGCGGAGTAAGTATGCTCGCCCAAAGGATGCCTGCACTCGCAGCAGTTGCTCGGGGGAATATCAGGCTGACAGGTCGCTCTCTCTCTCTCTCTCCCTCTCTCTCTCTCTCTCTCTCTCTCTCTCTCTCTCTCTCTCTCTCTCTCTCTCTCTCTCTCTCTCTCTCTCTCCTCAGGTGCCGGAGTTTGCCACGGCGTGTTTGCATCAGCTCGGCTCAAAAGGACGGCTGTCAAAATTGAAAGGGTCAACCTCACAAGGTTCCGGAAGGGAGCTTCTCGACCGATAATAAGTGATCACTTACTCGCCCCAACTGCAAAATTCTGCAGCAGTTCCTGACTTCATGCCGCGGCTTTCGAAGCGTTCTTCTTTGACGTTGCGGGAGCCGACCACCATTGGCCGCAGGGGACAGTCCAGATCCTCGGTTAAACTTCATAGGAGGCCACAAGGGGTTTTAGCCCATGGGGGTTTAGTAGGGATCAGGGTTCCCATAATAGGGTTCATATTAAGGAATCCCTACCCCAAGAATCTTAAACCCTCCTTTTGGCTGCCCATCATTAGGGCATGGTAGACTCTTTGTGCAGCCTCATGACCTCACAGAAGACCACCACATGGTAGTTTCCAAAAACTGGGGACCCTAATATAGTACCCTAAATAGTATAGGATCCTGATTTTTAGGACCCCAAAATAAGGTACCCCTAATTTTCGGAAACTCCCACGTGAGGATCCCGCAGTTTCGACACTGCATCGCTGGCCCCGTCTCGAGGGTCGCGGAGCTTCGATGGCTCATCGCAATCCAGATCCAGTGCCGATCTCGATGACGACTTGGTGGTGATGCCGGGCTTGTCCAAATATGGGAGTTTCCGAAAAGCAGGGGTACCTTATTTTGGGGTTCTTATAATAAAGGATCCTACTATTTAGGGTACTCTATTAGATTTTCCCATATTCTGCAGGGTGATTAAGAAAGAGAGTGCTGGCAGAGTGCAGGAAGTATAGGATGCTCTCATACCCGACAACGTCGCAGCTCTTTATCAGGTAGCCCCACTCGCTAAACCTAAGCCTCACCCGACTCTGAACCGGAGCATGGGCGAGATGGGCACGACCGTTTGCTTTGCATCCTTGTGATATCCCCTTGCTTTACAGTTTGTCAGATTGCGAGATCTTCCACAAGTGTATACATGTGTTTGCTTTATCCGAGTCAAGGGTTCACGTCGGGACTCAAGAACCCTTAAACAGATCAGTAATTCTAATTATTAAGGCCCCTATATTAAACCCCTATAGTACCCGTATGGTCTCCCTTGAAGGAACCCTTTAAAGGATCATGCCTTTTGAAGTAGGTCCCCAACCCTCGGATAGAGAGCCGCTTCCCCGAGCCAATCGACTTCCAGCTGTGCCGTCGAGGCTGACAAGCCTTGTTTCAGCAGTTTTCATGCTATAACATTCAAAATGGTACTAGGTGTAATGACCATACTATTCATCATACTCATCATCATCACCATCATCATCATCGTCGTCATCATCATCATCCTCATCATCCTCATCACCACCCTCATCATCACCGTCGTCATCATCAACAGCAACATCATCGTCATCATCATCAGCACCTGCTTGAGAGGCAGTCAACCGGCTCGGCCAGTTTGGCTGTTGGTCACCTGTCATCCGTCAATTCTGCTCCGAAACGGACACGGATTCCTTTGTGGATGCGATGGCGAAAATTCTGGGGCGTCATGGCCATTATCCTTGCAATCGTTGGTGTCAGCATCTACAACCTCAACGCATCTGATGCAGCCTTGCTCAAGAATGCACGGCAATCTGTTACCTATTTGGCTGAGAGGCAGGCGAAGGATATTACCCGTCAGCTTCGGACCTCTGTCAGTAGCCTTCAGGCACTTGACGGCATTCTCCAAATCGATCGATGTGGCTCTGGCACCGAAGATTTTGACAGGCTGGCGAAGGCGCTTATTGAAACTTACGGAGGGATCTCTAACTTGCAGCTTGCACCATTTGGAACGATCCGGAAGATCTATCCCTTGGTGGATGAAAACCAAGACAACCGCGGGGCATTGGGCCTTGCGCTGCTCTTAAACCCGGCACGGAGAGACTTCGCTCTCCAGTCCATCCTTTCAAGAACAATCCAGGTTAGTGGTCCTCTCAAGCTGGTGCAAGGCGGAATAGCCGCAATTGCCCAGCGGCCCATTTTCTCTCGCTACGCTCCGAAATATTTGCCCGACGAGTCGTACATGAGTGCTGACGGTGTCAATTACACCAGAGTTTGCTCTATACCAGAAACCCGCGACGAGACAGAGTGCTCGTTTCCTGGCCCTCTCGATCCTAGTGGTGAGCCCACTTACTTCTGGGGTTTTGTGACGATGCTAACCGGCATCGACGATTTTCTGCAAACAACATCTTTGTCTTCGCTGGAGACGGGCGGACAGGGCGGCGTTGCTGGCATATCTCAGTTTGCGTACGAGCTGTCGGATCCCAGCCCGCACCCGTCTCTGGCAGAGGAAGGCGGCATATGGCAGCGTTCCTCCAGTATAGAGTCGCTCGCAGATGCAGTGCAAGTGGATGTGGCCGTCGAAGAATTCGCTTTCCGATGGATCTTAAAGGTCGCGCCGCTAGATGGATGGCCGGTGGTATCGGATGATTTCTGGAGGCAGCTGCTCCTGGTTCTGCCACTCACAGCGATGCTTGGCGTCTTCCTTGGCGTCTACATCATCTTCGCTCTTCGGAAGGAGGCCATGAAGCAGCAGGGACTGGCAAGATATCTCAAGTCCGAGAAGATCGAGAATATCGGCAGCGCCGTTGCCAATTTGATCACCTTCCAATTCCCAATGCAGCTTGACAACTAACAGCCGGCATGCTCAGGAATACGTTTCACATTGAGTGTGTCGCGAATCGTACTTCAACTCACGCAAATTTGGCGAATCTTTTCCGCACACCTGCTGTGGCGGTTCTGTGTCTGGCTTGGCACGTAGCGTAAGGCCATACAGATCGTGGGTTTGAACTTAGTGGCTAGCATCACGGCAATGGGCTTGGATCCATCCGAGTTTATAATGCGAAATGAAATTGAGGCCAGCAGTATGTCTAGCAGCTTCTTGAGATTGTGATACTGTGCGATCACAAGAGTTCTGCCAGCAGGCTGCCTAAGAGCATGCACAAGCGTGGTGTTCATGTAAAGAAATCACTTGCCAAATACAGGTTACCTGCAACTGCATCTGCCAAGTGTCTGTGAGGTATCTTGTGGAGCAGCGCGAATTCATAGACATGGGTCGTCTGGTATGCCACGAGGAGGCACGGGATAATGCGAAGCTCTGCTGTTTCGATCGACCGGACTCTTAGCTTGGATGTAATACTGTGCTGATTTTCTATGTTGACGCATCCTCATCAAGCAGGTGAGTAACGAATAGGATGCCCCCATTCAGCTAAACCTCTCATCGGCACTTTGACCGAGGAAGATGTCGTCGACGTGTCTATACTTTCGGGTGTGCTTTTCATAAGCCACCAGTGGGCCGGCTTCGAACATCCTGACCCGGAGAACGTCCACTACCAAGCCATCCTTGTGGCCGTCAACAAGTTGGAAGAGAAAGGCCTCAAGTGCGGATATATTTGGGTGGATTACACATCGATTCCTCAGGCAAACCCCTTCCAACAGCAGGCAGCCATCAACTCCTTGTCGGTCTACGCCTCGTTGTGCTCATCACTCGTGTCGGTGGCCCCCAGATGCAGGCACTCCGACACTGGGGCACTGCTGGATTTGCATTCGTACTGCTCTCGTGGGTGGTGCCGGCTTGAGCTACTTAGCTTCAAAACAGGCTCTTCCAGCATGGGAGATGCGGAGCGGACAGCATATGTTTGTGATGGGTGCGACATCCACAGCACCGGGGAGTCCTCGGACGACATCTCTGACGAGGCGATCCTCCACGTCCTTGGAGGCACCTTTAGCTGCTGCAGTCGCATGCACCCGAAGGGTGTTCAATGCGATCGCCACAAGACACGAGACGTTCTCCTGGGTATCTACTGGCGATTGATGGCGATGAGACGGGATGGGGATATGAACAGCGTGATTTGGTCAGACCGGACCCTGCAGCTGGTGCAGACTGATACGGAGAAATATTTTCCAAGCTACAACTGGTATCGCACAGAAGACATCGATGAGATGGTAGAGCTGTTCGAAGGGTATTTGCCGATATTGCATAAGATGTTCGACAAGGACTCCAAGCTTGACCGCGATGGCCGATTGCCGGTGTTTGGCCGAAGCAGCACACACTTAATGACCATCTAGGCGAGCCGTTGTCCCTGATCCAAGAACTACAGGAACGTAAGGCTTCGTTTTCCTCCTTTGCTAAGCAGAGGCCGCTGCAAAGCAGCTTCGTTATCAAACCGGCAGTTCTAATGCTGCTGCTCGGCAAGCCTATTTTCCGTTCTTTCGACGTTGCTCTCGCCCCCGCTAGTCAGTGGTACCAGTACATTACATGCTAAGAAGAATAGCCTAGTGTCGTGTCCTTTAGCCCTTGATCTTCCTTCCAATGCTCGTTGCAATCTTCCCTGGGAGACTGGCGTTCTTCCGCCGGCAAGCGCGGCGCAGTTGTAAACTTAGTGACTTGCTGCCGGCAATGCTTCAATGAAGCCGTTCGCGCCCACTTTCGCAGAAACAAAAGAGAACGCTCATATCGTGTGTAGGCAGAGCATGGCAAAGTTGCACTGTTGTAACATTCCATTGATCTATCCCAGGATGGTGGAGTCCTCATGTTACGACTAATGAGCATGTGCATGCACGACGTTGAATGCTTTTGCCAGCTGCAACGTCTACACAGGCATGATCTTCAACATGAGCTCCAGTACTGCAATGGTGTGGCTGCAAGTGCCTTTTTGACAGATTTCTGAAGTTTTATTCGGTTAGGTGTTTGGCTTCCTAGCTGCACACATCTGCCACGGACCCCCGCCTTACCTCACTCTCCCCCCGCTCTCACGGCCCCTAAACCCAAAACCCTACCTACGGCGACAGCAGGAATCAGCAGTGCATCTCTCCGAGCTGCGAGCAGAGCTTCCAGTCGAGAGGCGACAGAACGTCTTCAACAGTCAGACGGCAAGTTGATATGTGCGACCTAAGCTCACGAGCCCAGCCCAGGCTAGACTATCAAAACATACTGTCGGCCCTAGTGAGCTCGATTCGACTGCCTCCGGCAGCAGAGTTGCTCCTTCGGATCTTTATGGTTAAGGTGAGGAGGCTTGACCTACGTACTGTAGCGAGTAGCTGTGCAAACGCGAGGCGGCATCAATTCTGATTCGCGAATTAAATAGCTCGTGTCCGGACAGCGAAGCACGATCAGAGCTTCAGCATGTCACGCGAGCACATGCGCTCCACGGTCGCAGGCTATGCCGTTGGCTGCCTCGTACAAGAGAGAGGACAGCCATGTCTCTCGGCCGAAGAAGTGTGCTTGCTCCAGCATGCAGCAGAGGCACTTGCTTAAGTGCATGTCTGTTGTGTCTTGAAGTCCTATGGGCGTGAGTATGACACTGAGCGACGTGGCGCGACGCGGCCTTTAAAGTTTTCGCTGGCTGTGACCTGAGTCGCGGTATCCTCTCATGCACCAGAGGGCCAATTGAACAAGGCAGGGGTAGGGGCACACCCGACTCAGGCTGTCTTGTTGCATGCGCACCAAGACAGATACTCTAGTTCAAGAGGTCATGTTCAGCACACGTGAGCGTTGTCTTGCAGCAAAGCAGCAATGCGAGGCGGACCTGGCACAACCATCGTAGCAGCAACAGACTCAGAGTCGCCCGTCATCACAATTGCCAACGACATCGTTTTCGCAGGCATAATTCACAAAAGCGGGCATGCAGACCTCATGACTTACGTAACATACACACGTGACTAATCATTGTTATGATTATCCGCTAGTCGCAGTAGGAGTCGTCATGGTGGTGGTAGTAGTAGTCGTAGTAGTAGAAGTAGTAGCGGTAGTGGTAGTAGTAGCTGTAGCAATAGCAGTAGCAGTAGTAGTAGTCGTGGTGGTGGTAGTAGCAGTAGTAGAAGTCAGCAGTAGTAGTAGTAGTAGTAGTAGTAGTAGCAGCAGCAGCAGTAGCAGTAGCAGTAGCAGTAGCAGTAGCAGTAGCAGTAAGAGTAGTAGTAGTAGTAGTAGTAGTAGTAGTAGTAGTAGTAGTAGTAGTAGTAGTAGTAGTAGTAGTAGTAGTAGTAGTAGTAGTAGTAGTAGTGGTTGTTGTTGTTGTTGTGGTTGCTGTCGCCGCCGTAGTAGTAGTCATAGTAGCTGCTGTTGTGGTTGGTGTTGGTGTTGGTGTCGTTGCTGTTGCTGTGGTGATTGCTGTCATCGTCGTCGTCGTTAGCGTAGTTGCTGTTGTTGATACTTCTTCAGTTGTTGCTTCTGTTGTTTGCTTGTCGTCGTTCAGCGTCGTCTTCCTGTTCTCTTTTCGTCAGTCACATTCAGTTTCAGTATGTTTCAGTGACATCATCTTGGACTTTGCAGTGTCTTTACAACTAAGGCTACCTGAAGGAGGACTGCTCGAGCGACTCATTGCACTACTCCTTTCCGGGGCCCTGCCCGCTCAGCGCTGCCGGGGCCAAGACGGAAGAGTGACCTGACCCCAGCTTTGGTGGGATGGTTTCGCTTGTTTTTGAAAGTTAGAACGAAAACTTTCCGAAAGATGGCCCTTCTTGGAAAGGCCTTAATTCGAAGATGAGTCGATTGCCAAGTGAATTCAGGGCTGAGCTCTGCAACTTTTCTTCGCTGCCAGCTCCTACATCTGCTCAGTATAAGGTGTCTTGCGGAGTACCCTGGCGGGCTGTGCGATGAGCCGACCGGCACAGACAACTGCACCTTCCATGTCGAGGATGCAGGCCCAGCGGGACATATCGATGAAGTTGGGCCCGAGGGCTTGGGAGGCTTTAGGAACTAGGCTTACAGCATCCTGCACTCCCTTACGGGCCAAGCTATACTGCTGCAGACCTGAGTTTTCGGATCTGCTATTGTTTGTATTCTGTCCAATCACTGGCTGATTCGGGTCGCTCATGCAACTCCTCTGCCGGGTGCCAGGGACCGTCACGCTGGATGAGCTGAGCGGGCGAAATGCATCGTGTTGCGGCTGCAAAGCCAACATACTCGCCTTAGCAGGTTTACTCTTAGCCTGAGCACCTTCGGCCTTCTCGCGGTTTGCGACGGTTTGGATGCAGGTATGGCTTCATGGCTTCACCACCGTTCGCTGCTGTGAACAACAGTAACAACGGCAGCAACACCACCACCACCACCACCACCACCACCACCACCACCACCACCACCACCACCACCACCACCACCACCACCACCACCACCACCACCACCACCCAGCAGCAGCAGCAGCAGCAGCAGCAGCAGCAGCAGCAGCAGCAGCAGCAGCAGCAGCAGCAGCGAGGCCAAACACCAAAGCCACGGGTACAGCAGTATCATAAGCATCAACACTAACAGCACGAACAGTCACTAACATCGGAGTCAGCACAACAGCCACAGTGAGAACAACACAACAGCAGCAACAGCAGCACAACCACCAGCAGACAGCAGCAACACCACCACCACCACCACCACCACCACCACCACCACCACCACCACCACCACCACCACCACCACCACCACCACCACCACCAGCACCAGCACCAGCACCACCCCCACCACAACCCCCATCACCACTAACAACAACATCAACTGTAGCAGCAGCAATGCCGTCAGCAAGAACAACAGCAGTAATCACCATGTTAGCCGTGACTGTTTTTGCTTTGCGGGCTGAGCTGCCTGAGGGAAAGCCTCCAAGACTGGTGCGCCGCCGGTAACTTGGAGTGGGATCCGGCCACCGACCAGGGAGTCGGGGAGCCCAGGAAATTGTGTTTTTTCATTCACAGATGACGGTCGGAAGTAGGAGTAGGACATGAACGAGTATGACGATGACGAGGGAGATCAAGAAGAAGCATTGGCCGGGGAGCTTCGGGCACTTGACATGCTGCGGAAATGTCATAGGATCCCAGTTGGCAGGGGGTCCAGTTATGGCTGCAAGGTGCTGAGGCATTTGCCATCAGCTTTCTTTGGTTTAGGAAGGCATGCAGGACATGTTTCATGCATGCCCCGAAGCTAGCAGGTGGGCATGAACTTCTGGAACGGCCTGCACAACGATCCTTTGCGCAAGGACCGCCTCGACCACGACCCTTTTGCGCTTGGTATCGGACTTTCGCGATCTGAACGGCTCTGGTGGCCTTCCTTCATGAATGAAGAGCCATTCAGAGAGGCTTCGCTCACACCCAGACGGCCTTCGCTTCCATCCGACAATCCGATTGGTCCACGTACTATAGGGGCCTAAGTTATTACCAATACTTTTTGAGGGTTCCTTAATTTCATGATAGCAAATGGGCCCCAAGACCCCATTCTAATGATTAAAGTCCCTATATTATCTAGTACCGTTATAGATCCCTTATAGTAAGTCTTATTCTATAGAGCCCTTTGAAGGGAAGCCTATTCTAAGTATTAAGGCCCCTACATCACCATGGCTCAAAAGCAGGCCCCTGAGTCCCGTCGGGGTTTTGGGGTCCCTGCAGGAGCGGATGTACAAGCCGCTCGCTTGCAATTCAGCGACTCGAAGAAAGCCCCTCCCTCACAGGCGGACATCCACGCCGAATCCTCAAACCGAAAGCTTCAGGTTAATATAAGGGCCTAAATAATTACCTATACTAATTTGGGGGCTCTTTATTATAATATTACAATGGACCCAAAAACCCTATTCTAATTATTAAGGCCCCTATATTAGAAAGCTCCGAGTTTGGGCATGATGATGGGCTGTCGGATGTTTCAAGCAGGGGCTCTTGTTTTCATGAAGATGGGCTTCTCTTCAGCTACAGGTAGTAGTTCTCTCCAAGAAAACGGCGGGACCAGGCAGGATCAGCGGAACCTGCCCAATCCTCGCGCCTGCGAGGCTGGGCTACCTTTTCTGGAAGAAGTATCCGAGCTTTCCGAAGCGACTGTCGGATCCGCGAGGTTGCAGGTATGCTGCCCAGAAGTCGGGACCATCCCTTACACAGTAGATTAACTTGCAGCCTTGGTCGCACGTATAGCCATATACTACAACGCAATGCGAAATATCGGCAACACCTGGTTCTAGCAGCCACCCGCTGAGAGCTTTGTTCTTCGGACAGGGAAGGCTCCCAAACCTACTAGGTACTCCTCATGTCTTCATTCCCTGGTACCTGCTATAGATGTAAGTAAATACCATTAAAGACACAAACTGTCGCTTTTTGTCATGTAGAAATCCGTCGAATCTCCCTGCCCGGACCAGGCTCTTGTAGCGTGACCACTCGCGGTTTAGATTCGGGGTTATCTGCTGAAGCTATAAGAACGCTCATATGAGTTCCAGCAGATGAGTTTCGCCATACTGGCTTTGGCATCGCGCAAGATGCGATGGACCGACACTGCGGAGTGTGTGCCTCGTTCAGGGTGCATGCCTGCAGCTCCTTAGCGATCGCCATGACTGATGAGTGTTTGACAACCTTAGATTCGGCTTTGGCGACGCATTTGTCCTCCGGGCGCCGGGTAGGCCGTCTTCCAACAGCCTCGAAGCATAACTTCGTTGTCAGCTTCCACGGACCGCCTGGAGGATTGCCCTCGTAGAAGTTATCGGACCTCGGGCACATGCTGCTGAGGTGAAAAAGTTTTTGTCATGTAGAGCTGTGTAGCTTCATGGAACCAGCAAGGGTCCTCTTCAAACGCACGCCCAGCATGTGTAGAAGCTGGCCGGCGGCAGATTGGTATGCGCCGTCAGATGGCTTGGTGTAAATTCTGCGTAGACTTAGATATATGTACATATATATATATATAGATACACACAACACTTAACACCTGTTAGGATCATTCAGTGTTCACAGTTGAGGAAACGGCAGTTTTGCTATCATCGTTTGCTATCATCATCCGTTCCAGATCTCACCAGCAGAGTGACCTTGGAGTTGAAACTGTCGGATCTTGATAATTCGGGGCTTAAAAATCATCACAGCAATGTTTTTAACTAAGACTTCCTGTTATGACTGCAGCTTCCCACAAACGACTGCATTCTGCCAAAATGTGGAGTATGGCTTCTGTGGTAGACCTATGGCGGCTGGCTCATGGTGGGAGCCGTCGCCTAGAGCCCGAAGCTCCGAAGCCGATGAAGCTGTGCACATGTCCCCAAAGCTTCCTAGTTTCAGTGACCACCGAATTGGATCCTACTTCCGAGGCAGATACATAGCCTCGGGGAACGAGAGCAAGCTTCCGAATCTTAAGTCCCTAAAAGCGTCTACTGGAGCCTCTGCACCACAAAGCCCGAACGACCCGGCCCCCCAACTTCCCCAAGCTGCTTTTCCAACGCTCTTACAACACTTCCCGCACCCTCCTGATATGATAGTAGCTCCAATCAATAGTAGTCAGTAGCCCCTACAGGAGACCTTGTAGGACCCTCTAAGGGAACCCTTACTGCTGTATGCCTTACAGGAATCCTTCTGAAGGAGCCCTTAGAGTTTCGGTTGCCAGGCGCTGCATAGTGTTGCCGGCGGTACGGGGAGTGGCCTGGGCTCCTTCGCACTGAAATCCGTCTGCGCCTGGGCTCAGGGCTTTGAGATGCTTTGAGTTGATGCTGACGGTACAGTTTATGGATCCTAGGGTTCGGGGGAAAGTAGCTGATGTGAGGGGATGCCAGATGAAATATGAGTAGTAGTATTGGCGAGACAGGAAGCCCCACAACGCTGACATTGCCGGTTTCGGCAGTTCTTCAGGTATTCTTTCAGTCAATAAGCATTGCAGCCGCATCGAGCCTTGTACCGAATAGGTCTCACAGTATCGGGCAGGCCTTCCTTCACAGCAGTGAACACGAAGCACCTGAAGCTTCAACGATCTACGGCGACTCACAGGTCGAAAATGCCTGCAACCAAGCCAATCTAGCTAATCCGAGATTGACTGCCACGTGAGATGTTAACGGCAAGGGCCTCCAGCGACGAAGTCACGCCACGCCTGCAACGGAATGTATGAATATGCATGACGTCCACGGAATGAGTGGAAGAAACCTCCAACAAGCACAACATGCACCTCCGGCTCCTCCTCCTAATGCAACTATCACAACTACTACTGCTACTACTACTACTACTACTACTACTACTACTACTACTACTACTACTACTACTACTACTACTACTACTACTACTACTACTACTATTACACTACTACTACTACTACGACGACTACTACTACTACTACGTACTACTACTTACTACTACTACTACTACTACTACTACTACTACTACTACTACTACTACTACTACTACTACTACTACTACTACTAACGACTACTACTTACTACTACTACTACTACTACTACTACTACTACTACTACTACTACTACTACTACTACTACTACTACTACTACTACTACTACTACTACTACTTCTGCGACGACGACGACGACCGCCACCACTACCACTGCCAAGGTTCGGGATGCTTTTCCCTCCGCTGCCCTCGCATCCATCTCGGTGTGGCCGTTTGAGACGGGCGAGGCGCCTCGGCTCTAGCACCTGCAACTGCAAAAGCTCCCCACAACAGTTCAGCTTCCGAGACTGCGGTCGTTGGTACTCACTGATTGTTGGGGCAGCGCTGCTTTTTTGCAAGGTCAGCGTGCAGTGCTACAACGCATCTCTGCACCGGCCTCGATATGTGATCATGTTTTGGCTCCTATGTGCATGCTGCATGTGCAGGACTCTCGCTGCAATCTACGAACATGCTGTGCCGCACTTGGCGATAGTTTGCATGGCAGAGCAACTCGCCCCACAGCAGCCTTGTGGATGCAAAGCTGTAAGGACTTGGCGGTGGTTTGCGAGAACGAACGTTACCTGGACTTGTGCCGTCTCTCGCACTGCCCCCGGAGGAGTTCTCAAGTAAGGTCCTTCCAGGTTTCGTTTGCGCAAACCCCGATAGCCAGGGTCCTTGCGCTCCACCTGCAAACATCACGGTCACACAATAGATTGAGAGCCGACCATGGAGGTGTTTGACTGCACTCTGCTCTCTTGCCACTCATCCCTGAACAAATCCGAAAAGGCCAAACCTTAGAGCATTAGCAATGAATCCCAAATTCCGATGACGTTAAACCCTCCAAACTAGGCCAAGCCCCAACTGTCCAAAAGACTTGGGTGGTTGTCAAAATTATTGTCCTTTTTTGGGTCCTTAATATAATACGCCACCTAATATTTAGGGTGCCCAAAAAGGGTCCATAATTTTGACAACTACCCACTTGAGGCATGGACAGGCGCATCCTTCTCTCAGCTCGCTGAATGTGGCGATAGCCGAGAGTTTAGCCAGGGCCTCAGTCAAAGGAGCCGGGCAACTGTTTCGTTTTGAGGGTTTTGGGATTGGGCTTTATCGTTTTTGGTGTATTTTTACGTAATTTATAGCGTGGTGGATAAAGTAGGTTGGTGGGACCAGGAGTTCGGATAACCTTGTCGCGGCTGTGGTTTTGTAATGGAACGATGGTGGCCACGAAGATCCACATCCGCATGTAGACACTGCACCTCCAAGCACGACACCGGCCCTGCTGAAAGAGTCTTCCCATCAGGCAAGAGGCTTTCAAGGTTCTCTGATGTTCAACGTAAAGTTTCCGCCACAAGCGTACCGTAGAGTCCTTGGGCAAGGACACCGTGCCCTCAGAGCTTTGGCTACAGCCCCGAAGAGACCTCAGCTCCAACAGGTCCGGGTCTGCATGCCTTGCAAGTCTGTGCACGGGCCTGAGAATGACACCTCCAGGGCAACATGAGGGCCTCAGAGTTTGGTTTGGATTGGTGACAATGGTGCTTCATTTATACTGGTCACAGTCAGGCATTGGCCGATGTCGGAATCTGTCGGATTCAATTGTCCGGCCCGTAAGAAACAGGATCCCAGGTGGCACACGTCTACCGTTTGCCTGTGCCTGCTGTGCTTATTGTTGTACAAAGAACAGAACGTCTTGACCGAACAACTTACACGCCAGCTACCTAACCCGCTCACTTACTTACTATCTTGCTCTCTCCGACGCCCACTCACTCAATCACTCCCTCCCTCGCTCACTCACTCACCCGCGCACTGACTCAGCAAGGAAGCAACTAGCTAGCTAACGACCTGACTGAGTGACAGCTAGCTGGCTGGAGCCAACCAACCAAAATCAACCAACGAGCCAGCCAGCTACCCAGCTAGCCAGCCGGCCAACGTACCGGACAGCAAGCCAGCCAACCAACCAACGAATGCACGAACAAGCGAACGAACGACAAGAACGAACAAAAGAAACAAGCAATGAGCAAAACAAGCAAGCCAAATAGCACCTTGAATCCTTATGTATGCGTGTACGGACACATCGTGAAAGGTTGTTTTTTTCCATGTTTATTAGCTTTTGTATGCATGCGTGTCTATAAACATATCATATCATCGCTAATTAGACGCCCGAATGATCAGCTTAACATCGCCATAGACTCCGGCTGGCCGAGTCTTAACTCAAGCTGTCGAATTGACAGTTTCCAACCCTCGCCCAAAAAACAAACACCATGGGTGCTCCGAGGAGGGCTCAACACGGGCCCGGCTGTCCGCTGCTGCAGCTTGCAGGGCAGCTCTGTGCACATCCGCAGGGGTCTTAGCCAGCTTGTCAAAAAGATACGGCAGATACACTGTGTCTGCCTGGGCATCCGTTGTCCATCTTCCTGTCGATCTGTGTTCTCCCCACACAAGTAGAAATGCAGATGTTGATATCTAGTTTCCTAGCTTTCTTTGAGCACCAAGTGCCCTTCAGATCAACTACAGATCCTGTCCATGGAGGACTATTCGGTGGGGGCGAGTGGGGTGCGAAAGTACAACAAGACGCGCGTGCAGTAATCATTACATGACTCACATTGCATATGCACATGCGTATGTATGTGTAGGTTTCAGGATCAAGCTTCAGTTTTCCAGTGCTGTGGTAGTGTGGTGTGAACTAGAAACAGCTTGTCTCCAGCGATTTGCTGTTCAGCCACTATGCTCTAAGAACAGCACATGTTTGCGTGTGTGTGTGTGTATATGTGTGTTTGTGTTTGTGTGTGTGTGTGTGTGTGTGTTTGTGTGTGTGTGTGTGTGTTTGTGTGTGTGTGTGTGTGTGTGTGTGTGTGTGTTTGTGTGTGTGTGTTTGTGTGTGTGTGTGTGTGTTTGTGTGCGTGTGCGCGCACGCCCTATCCATACGTCTACATTAGACAGAGAGAGCTTGCGATCCAGAGACAGAACGGTCTGGCTGGGGGAGGGTGCGTCGGAAACATTATTGAAGTCTCAATAGTTCCCTAAATTATTTCCGAGGGCCTTAGGGTTCCTGTACTTAGAGTATCAGTATAACATACCCCAAAGCCCTCTGCGAGGCCTCGATTTGCCTGAAGCTGTCGCACAACTGAGGCTGTACAGATTAACGACTGTGCGCGGGCACCTGGAAGCCCCAGAGTGCAAATTGCGGTTCAGTTCAGTCGTCCATGTTTGTGTGGGTCCCCTCCTACTTTCAAGCTTTGCACGAACTGCTGCTTTGCAGGCTTGTTCATCTCACTGATGGTGGTAGTTGACAACTCAGGCGCAGCCTACCACAGACTCGGCGAGGAGCAGAGGTGAGACCTCCAGTTTTGAACGTTGGTTCTGATGTTGCAGGGAAGTTTATGTTTCAAGCCGGGTAATCGGAGGTTTGAGGCCGGTGTTGGCATATGGGTTGTCGAAGCTTGCGCTTAGAAACTGTTGCTGGTGGAGTTCGATTTGTGTTTAAGCTTTGGTCACAGAAGACAGGTTTGTTGTTTGAAGAAGTGAGTCTCCTGTTTGGCAAATTTACATCAGACACCATGGAAGGCCTACTTCGATCCAACAGCCGGCCGCCACATGAAGCTAACCCATTGTCACCACCATCAAACCTACTATCACCCTCGTCGTTACCATTGCCACGACCAATCAGCAATAGAAGCAGAACCGTCACCAAGTTATGACCGGTCCCCATCGGACTCATCTTCATGGGAGCCATCGTCATTAGCACCATTCAGTGCTGAAGCAAAATACCGCCTTTGCACAACAGCTACATCGATAGTATCGCCGTTTTCATCCTCCAGCTCCTCCTCATTGTCACAGATTGAACATGGTTGAGTACTGATACCCAACCGCACAGATCGGTCGTATTGCTTGTCCGAATACTCCTGACGTGCATGCTAGCCGGACGGTCACGTCAACCACGAGATTCAGGACATTCGTGTCAGGAAGCATGCTTGTAAAGATACACTCGGGGAAGGCACTGGCAAGGTCATCAATATGACAAGATAACCGAGGATGGATGAGAGTCACACAAGCGAGAATGACCGTGCACTGTTGCGATCAGCATGATCCTGGCAAAGCAAAGCTTCCTAGTTTTGGTGACTCTTCCGCTAGTAGGGAAACCCTCAACTCCAAACCCTAAGCCAAACCAACCCCTCAGCCAAATGGCATTCTGACACCTAACCAGGCGGGGGAAAAGAGGGATCAAGAAAAGCAAACCTAAGCCTAAACCCTTCTAAGCCTGGAGTTGGTACTCGTTGCCTTCCACTTGCCCAGGCCTTTACTTCGGACTCCTGGTTAGCACTCCAAAGGCTCCCCGGGCTTCGGAGGCTTTGGGCTTTCGCGGCCTTTGGTTGAGGAGGCTCGAACAAGGGGAGGTGCAAACGACACCACCAGCTTCAAGAAGCTTCCGCTAACCAGGTGTCTTCTGATAGAGCATCGCCGGGAATGAAGATCTGTTTGGTATGGAGTTCTCATCGCAGATCGCCGCCAGGTTGTTGTAGGTACGTGTGTTGGGCACTCGGGCCGTGTAGATTGTAGAAGCCTGAGGCACGAACCCACTTGGATTGGAAAAGAGGGCTTAAAAAAAAAAAGAACCCACTTGGATCGAGATTCGTGGTTCATCTTGGGCCACGAGCATTTGCAGGAAGACCATCCCCAAGAACACTAGTCAGCAGGACACCCAGGGCACCAGAAATCGAACTTTTGACTGGGAACTGACGACAGCAGGTCCGACTGTCTCAACAAGATTTGTTCTCCATGCCGTCCCTTTGGAAGAGGCGATTGCTACAGTTGTCGGAAACCGGCACCCTTGTGGATAGGCCAGCTTGCATCGTGTTTTTTCGGGCTTGTAAACATGTTGACAAGAGACTTTTGTGTTCACATGCTTCGCGCTCAGCAACGAGATAGCGCCGCGGGGTTAAATGCCTTATATTTGGAGATCTGCTGAGTGATTTGAGTTTCTCGAGCTTGTCCACGTCACTGTCGGCCGCCAGGCCGTCCCAAGCTACACAGAGCCCCAAGGACCTGTTGCCTTGCTCCTACACGCAGGGCTAGAATCGTGTTATTGAGACTTAATGTGATCAGTATCACTATCATCATTATTCGTACTGAAGAGAAACAACACGCCGTACTGTGTTACAGAATAGCATTGTTATTACTGTAGTTATTAGCGTTATTCTTACTACTATTGTTGTTGTGAGTTGTCTCTTGTTGGAGCGAGGGCTTATGAGCCTCCCAAACGGCCGCGTCGCATAGCTTCCCAAGGCGCCCGAATCTTAACCTAAATCTTGAAGCCTCAGACAAAACGCCAAAATCCCGCTTGCAGGAGGGTTTGGCGCGCTGCCGTACCCTTTCAGCTCTGAGCTCAGTGTTTAGGGAGCCGATGCGCAGCGCCAGTTGAGAAAACACGCAACTTCTTGGGTTTGAAAAGGGATGATGACGAGGGTGCATGTGCACCGCCGAAAAGCTGATGCTACACCGGATTTGAAGAAAACTCGAGCACGGGAAGTCTGAAAGGGGCTTCTATTGGAAAAGTTTGGTGCTTGGCCTCTAAAGTCTGCAGCAGATGTATCTGCAAGTCTCAGCAGCAGGGATTTCGACCGAGTCTTCAATGATGCCGGCATCTTGAAGTACATGCGCACGACAGGCCGTAGCCATAGCCCACGTGAATTGCCTTGCATGGTGCACTCACGAGTACCTCGAAAGACCGGATGAGACAAGCATGGAAGGACATGCCCTTACCATCCCCAGCCCCGAGCCCATGCCGAAGCCCTGAATTCGAGACTGCAATTGTGGCCCAAAAGCGGAGCTCTGAGACGAAGTAAGCGGCCCTCTCGTGACCTCCCAGAACACGAGGCCTCTGTTTTCTTCTGGGGCCACGGAGCCACCGAAGCGTCCCTGGACTGTCGGGGTCGGGGCCAAGTCTAGGTCGTTCTGATCAGAGTATCGATGATGGTTCTGGCATCTTGCCATACAATACATTGTAGTAGAATGCTTTTGTTATCTACGAAGGAATTTATTATTGCAGGTCAAAAGACATCATTCAAGTCTTCCTGGAGCCGCCCTGCTGTTGCTGCCGCTGTTGCCGCTGCTGCCCCAGCCCCCCTCCTCCCCCTCCTCCTCTTCCTCCTCCTCGTATTACAAATACCAAGTTACCATGCTACTGCTGCTACTACTTGGAATAATGGCAGCCGTCGCCGGTGTCATCGTACATGTGTAGAAATATATATATATATATATATATATATATACATATATATATATATATATTTATTTATTTATTTATTTATTTATTTATATATATATATATACTCCTATTCAATGTGATAGTCAGATACCCAACCTACGTATACATATCAGATCAATAAGCATCTGTTTCGGTGCATGTGACTGTGATGTCGCCGCCCAGTCAGTCTCAAATATCTCGAATGTTTCAAGACTGCGCTCCGCTGAAATGTTCTACTGGGGCTGGGGTTCCTTATTATAAGTATAGTATAATGGGTCCCAAAACCCTATTCTAATTTTAAGTGGTGCCTATATTAGGGAAGCCTAGAGGTTTCAAGGGGGAACGAGCCAAGTGGGTTCCTGGGATGCGAGGATCCTTTGCGCAAGTTGCCAATCTGGCAGCAGTCGCTGGACCCTTTGCAGGCCTTGGTTCCGGTGAGAAAGGCTGCGATGAAAGTTGCAGGAGTAAGTTCCAATAAGGACAGCGGCCGATTTCGGTATTGGCAGGTGCAATCTGTCCTTGAATGTTTTGTAGGACTGCAAGATCCAGTGCTGCGCACATGCCAGTATGCCTTCGCATGTCGCTTGCTTTTTGCCAGGTGCATGCGGACCCTCATCAGGCCAGCAAGCTTGATTTTTCCGCATGTTTGCTGCCTCCAGCAACTGGTACCTGGACCACGTTGGTCGCGAAACCTGGTTCCACACGGATCGAAGAGTGCGGAACCCCTGGGGCGTGCAATGCATAGCACCAGCTGGTCCAAAAATAAGATGAGTTCAATGCAAAGGTTTCTGACACCGACCCTGCCCCGTGCCTGCTTGGCGCAAATTTAGAGGCTAGACACCCCAAGCTGCCACGGTCCTGAAGCCCCGAGTCACGACCCCTCACAAACCCGCAAGACGTGGTCTTGAAGGTCCGCACAATTTGGGGGTGTTTTCTCCCAAGACACAAACCATAAAGTCTGTCGTGCCGCACAATGGTATTTCACGACATACTTCGGTCTCGCCAGGTGGGTCGACTGGAGCGGAGCTTGGGTTCAATCAGTAACTGCCAGGCCGTTGTGCGTGGGGCCCGGAAAGGCGGCTTGGAGAGGAGCATGGGCTCGTAAATTGAGAGGGTTGTCCGGGCATCATCAGTACCATGACGATTCCTGTCATGTGATGCTTAGGCGTGCTTTGCCTTGGAAAGGTGAGGTAACTCGTAGGCAGCAGTTCACGCAGGCTTGTCCATGGCCATCTTCGACCACTACACGGTAAGGAAGGTCGCTTCGAACATCATAGCAACATCATTGTCATGTACATGGACTACTGTGTGTGTGTGTGTTTGTGTGTGTTTGTGTGTGTTTGTGTGTGTGTGATTGTGTGTGTGTGTGTATTTCAGTAATGTGTGTATGTAGTGTATGTATAGACACAATATATATATATATATATATATATATATATATATATATAATGTGTGTATATATATATATATACACACCCACATAAATATATGTATATCTGTATACATGTATATATGTATTTATGTATATGTATACACATTATATATATATATATATATATATATATATATATATATATATATATATATATATATATACATGAATACATATATACATGCACATGTATGTTTATTTGTTTGTTTTTGTCTCCATCCGTCCATCCTTCCGTCCGTCGCCCACCCCCCCCCACCCACCCACCCACCCCCCCCCCCCCCCCACCCACCCACCCACCCACCCATCCGTGCATCCATGCATCCATGCATATACATGCACATGTGTATATATATATATATATATATATATATATGTATATATACACATATAGACACATACAAGTGCGTATACATATATATATATATATATATATGTATACATGTATATGTACATGTGTTATACGTATGTGTGTTTGTACGTAATGCAAATCACACTATGATACGGACTCTGGAGCTCATCGGCCTTTTCTCGAAAGGTTAAGACCCCGAAAGACACCAACATCTCTTAAACCTGGGAGTAGACGAGGGTTCAAAACCCTGAACTCTGAACCCTCTTCTGCCGCAGTGACTTCAAGTCGTATTTTCTGCTCAGCGGTGGTCGCTGATCATGAACTCCACATGAATTGAGGGTGTGGGCGGATCTGCTTGTTGCTGCGACTTTGTATGGAGTCAGCGCCCACTGCAAGTTGTGTCTTTGCACAGTAGTGCTCCTGGGGCCTGAGTGTAATTAAGGGTTATCTTTGTCGGGGGAAGGTTTGGGTGGTGTAGACTCAGAAGGTTGGTGGTTGCATATGGCCCGAAGAACACATCCGAACCCGGAATTTCTGAGGCAGGCGGAAACCCTAAACCATAAACCCTACACAAATGGCCCTGTGTTGGAGTTTCCGGGTTCATCGTGAGCCCCAGGCCAGCCCTCTCCTCCACCGCCAGAAGGGCGGCGGGGATGCTCCGGGCTTCGGCATACCTCCACCAGCCCGGGGCCTAGACTCTCAGGGGTTTGAGATTGTTTGAGAGTTTCGGGTTTCGGGGGTTCGCGTTTATGGGCCAGAGGTTTAGAGGTTTCAGGTTCGGGTGCACTGAACTCACAGAGACTCTGTGGGACTGCCTATCAATTAGGATAGGGGTTTGGGGAGTCCATGACATGGTCGGGTCTGTAAGAGTGCACTTACTGGAACACGAGCAAGACGAGTTCTGACATAATTGTGCATACATGTGTACAGCGTATATGATATGCATGATGTGTGTGTTTTGTTCACATGTTCCGTTGATTGGTTGGCTGGCTGACTGGCTGGCTGGTTGGTTGGTTGAGTTGGTTAGATAGTTAGTTACTTGGCTAGTTGGCTAGCTGGTTCGCTAGCTAGCAGCAGGTTTGCCTCAATCGGGCATACACACCGATGCTGATGTTCGATGCATTTGTCTGCTTCGTATTTCCTTTCATGAGTTTGATTCCGTTCTTCGATCCTTCCATTTTTTGCAGGGGGGCATCGGGCCCCGGGTTGGAGAGTCGTGGACTATGGCGGTTAGGTGTCGGGACTAAACCATCCGCCGACACCACTGCAAAGAATACGCTCCCCATATAAATGTTCTTAATGACGTTCTGGTTTGGATAGGGACCGGGAGGGGCGCGCAAGGCGAATCGATTGTATAGTTGGCCAGTTAACTACCTAACTTTGGTTGCCTCGTGTGGTTCGAGACTTTGACCTGGGGGGGGTGCTTCGGTTGGACCCGCATGGGCGCGACCGACCCACGCTGTACCACGACTTCACCAACAGCGGCAGCCACCGTTGGACCTTTGGGGGGACGTCCTTGTCCTGAGCCCGCCATAGATAGAGCTCGAGGGGCGGCGGCATCAGTACCGTAGTCATATTGCTTCAACTTCACCTGATTGTGGTTTGTTGTTGATGATGATGACGACAAGAAGATGACGCAGCCTATTCGTCGGAGTTAGACTGGCCGTTCAGTATTTGCCAGCATTGCGGGTAGTGGTGCGGCGTAGTGTCATCAGTCTTGTTTGAGCTGTTTCAGTATGGGCTGTTCTCGGCATTCATTTTGTTGTATCCAAAGGTCGCAAATCATATCAACTAGATGCTATTGTGCCTTGGGGTCTGCATGGTGTGCTGTGCAAAGGTACGAGCGATACGGCTTGAGTCGGGAGGACATGAGCGAGGCGATGCACAAACAGACACACACTGATGAAACTCTCGCTTCTTCCACAGCCGGCTTACACCAGTTCATCTGTCGAGACGGTTGAGAGTCGACGACCGTGGCAGTATGTGCTCTCATGCGAGGTTTTGGAAAGGACTTGTGACTTGTGACTTGCTGGCCGCTTGTATGTCAGGCAATTCTCCATATGCTTCAAGTGACCAGCGACTACGAGCACGTCGATTAAAAAGAAGGGTTGCCTGCCTATGCTTGCTTGCTTTTGCAGAATGGTTGTGAACTTCCAGCGCCAGTGCTTGCATACAGACCAGATTCTTCCTGCAAGGGCCGGCTGGCAATAGGGCTATTCGGTGTTTGAGCAATCTCCACATGTCAGGGAGGGCTCAATTCCCTGTTCGATGCGGCATGATCGATTGTCGGACGGCATAAACACTGCGTGATTGTGCTTGCGCGGCATGTTTGCTAGCGCTGTGGAGCTTGTATTTACTGCAGCAGTTACTGCGGCTTCAGAACAGCTCAACTTGCCTGCATCTGGTCTTGGGTTATCCCAGCAGCGCAGGCCACGAGAACCTAGGTTTTTTTGAGTTGTGACCAGGCCCCATGCTGGTATCGTTGTTGCGAGGGAGCCCCTCCCCCCACTGCTCTTGACCGAGCAAAACTTACCCTTCTTCCAGTCTGCTCAGAAGCCGAAGAGAAGAACAGGCAGCTGCACTCGAAGTTGATTCAAGAAGAATAATTAATCCTTAATTACTAAGCCCCCACATAAGCCAAGCCAAACAGGGTAGCTAAGGTAAGATGGACGCAATATGTACTCAACTAGCCTTCATTTCATTGTCATGATTGGCAACCTTTTAATGTGATCATTGCTTTGGTACAATCATTCGGAACCCTGAAGCGTGAGCGGCCCTGATACAAGAAACCCAACACAACTGTAAACCTCGAAGCCTGAAGCCTTGAATCCTGAGCCCAACATCAACCGAAATCCTTTGGACAAGCTTTGCTCTGACATTGGATGGGCCCCCACACCCTGAACCTTACCCCGCCTTGGCTCCGAAGTTGTCAATTTTAAACGTCGTTTCGTGCGGTTGGGAGAAACTGGACATGTGAACGTTAAGTGTTTATGCAGGGCTTGCCATAGGGGCGCATTTCAAAGGCTCTTGCCGAAGCATTTGGCTCCAGCACAACGATCTTGCAGAAAGACGAGGCATGTGGCAGCCGACGAAGGCATGCACGCTCTTGGGCTTCTTTCATCTTAAACCATTAAGCCCTAAACCCACTCTCGAGCTTGTTTCAGGTCCGGTGTTTGGGCTCCAAAACGGTGGTTGAAACTGTTTGTGCCCTCTACCACTTGGATGCAGTTGTAACCCTTGAAGCCCCAAGCCGAGGCTGCTGTGTCTCTCCTGGCTCTCGCTGCCAGCAGCTTTGGCGGGCGTCGTCGGAGCCGCGGAGTCCGCGACTTCCCTGGCCCCGGCGGCGGGGGCTCGGGGTTCGTGGCAGGAATCTGTCTTTCCTGGTCCCTAACCGCTGGCATCCCCACGCGCTCCACCACAGCGGCGCCCCTACGGCGTCTAAGGGTTGGGCCTCATATTGCTTTTAGCTCTTCGTGTTTTAGGGTGTCGAGCGCTGAGGGCCGAGGGTTTTGCTGGGGTTTCAGGAAGATAGTGAAGTTTAGCCTATACAAAGTTGCCAGGCACCCTTTCTTTGGTTTCCTTGTGATGCCCTGGGACACCCCTTCAACCCTACCAAGACCCAACCCTCCGTCTTAGACACCTGAGCCCCGAAGCCTCAACCCATAGTTGTACAAGACCCCCAGGGCCATGAGCTCCTTACTAAACCTGTGTGTCTAATATAAAGACGCCCACACACGAGTGTTTGTTTTGGGCAGTAGTTTGAAAGGGATCGCGGCACGAGTCACTAACTTATCAATGCCCTGGTTGGCCCGAGGACAACTGCTATCTTGGCGTGTTGGAGGGCAAATTACCCCGATAATGCCGCAACCTGATTGAACCCTTCAAGCCCGCGGCCAGACTTTGTTCAACCTTGAAACACGGGCCTTTTGCCCCAGCCTCCCAACCTGGAAGGCTTCTGAGGTCGACATTGGCGCCAAGGAGTGCCCGTGCCTGACGGCAGCTTCTGAGAACCTCGGCGGCAGCCGTGGATTGGGGGTGAAGCAAGAAGCTTCGCAGCTTTGCAGCGTTTTTGGCGTGTGCGCTTGAGGAACGTCAACGGCTACCAGACGGTGCTCGACACATTGAGGTCGAACGGCATCAACGTGTCGAAAGGCACGAAGGGCTGCCAGGCTGGATGCTCCCAGGGATCCTGTAATAATAGGGACTTACATATGTATCTTTTCATCTGGGGGTGTACAGGGGGCGCTGTTTATTGGAAACTGCCAAACGGCCCGACGGTCAGGGAGCATTTCGCCCAACAGTCTCCGCAAAGGGTTTGCTTTGTTGGGCTGGGGTCTTGGGAAGTAGGTATGTGCTGCAAGGTGTACAATTCGAAGGAGTGCCTCACATATCCTCTTTCCTGCAAGCAGAAGTGGTGTTACGCGGCCAGCTTGCCCTTGGAAACCTTTTCTATTTCCAATGCATGGCTTGCAGGAATGCAGTTTATTGTGGTCACACTCAGGTGGACATCGAGGCCTGCAAAGTGAATCAGCAACTGTGCAAGGAAGCTCACCTGCGTCTGGGCTGCTCTAAGGGAAACTCAAACAGAATCGAGTGGGAAAAAAGAATAGCAACTTCCTTATCGTTTGCCAGTTTCTAACTCAGCTCTAGCTCGGTAGCAGCATGCTCGCAGAAGCCTACAAGTAGCTGGCTACTATAGGGGCTTCAACAATCACCAATACTATTTGGGGGGGTTCCTTACTCTAATTATAGTATAACGGGCCCCAAAACCCTATTCTAATTATTAAGGCCCCTACAGTACTTCATCTGCAAGCCGCAACCTAGGCGTCGGGGCTCTCGGGCTTCCCCGCATTGTCGTGATCGGCCCCGCTATGAGAGCAAGTACGTCAATGACTCGTCGGTGCTGTTCCCCGCGGATTTCGTGTGAAGTAGGGTCTTTGCGGTAGTTTTGGGGTCAGGTTCGCGGGTTCGGGTCTGGGTCGGAGGTAGAGGATCCCATGTGGCTTTGGGAAGTTCTGTGAGGAGTTGGGGTGAGTGAAGGGGATTCAGACACTACCTTCTTTGCTTTCTGTATGATTGTCCAACAACCCTAACCCCTAGACTCTAGACCCTAAATCATAACCTCCACGAAGATGAGGTGTTACTACGCCACACATGATAAAGAGAGTGGACAAGCCCAGCATGAGGTTCAGCTATGAGACCTGCGGTGCTTTGGGCAGCTACAACGACGCCGGCTTAAAAGAACTCATAGGTTTTGAGCCTTAGGGGATCCCGGAATACCTGCCAGCCTAAACCCCATGAATCCTTCGAGCCGCTTCACGGGTCCTGCCTGGTTTCGGGTAGAATCCAAGATGCCGAAACCCTCCGTCTGAGCCCCCACAGAGCTTAAAGAGCTTTCAAGGAGACCCGCTTCGAGAAATGGATGACCAACCTCGAAGTGCAAGCTGCCGTTGATCCCAGGAACATCTACCCAAACGCGCGCTTGGGCTGAGCTCTAGAACAGAAGTTCGGTCCCTTGTATAGACAATCCCGTAATTAGCTTAAACTCTATATCTAAACCCTCGTCCAACCTTGCTAGGATTTTGGGAGCGCAAATAAACTTTTTCTACAGGTACCCTGTTTTGCGGGTTTCGGTGGATCTGGTTGTCGTTTTTAAATAAGAACGGGAGAACGACCCAGGATGCTGCAAGAGCTTGCCGACAAATCCTTCACCAAGTTTAGGGATCTCAACTCCTCCGCACGAGCGAAAGCTTCCCAGATGGACGTGTCAATCCCCATCTTGACTTTCGAAGACCAATCCTACTGGGAAACGCCGGCATCTACGGGCTCCAGCTGTTCCCAAGATGAGGCGGGAGGCTTTGTTTGCAACTCTGGCTACAGCAACTGTGTCCATGATGTAGCGGTGGGGAAGTTCGACCTCTGCATCGCAGACATGTGGATCACGCCGGGCCGAAGTGCCATCGCTCAGTTCCTGCCTCCCGTGCGCTTCGACATGTTCTACCTGGTGCAAGCCGCGAAGCCACGGACGGAGTTGACTGCCGGTGCAATCATGGAGAGGCCTTTCAAACCCTTCACGCCTTGGGCCTGGGGAGCCCTTGGATTCTTTGTGCTGTTTTCCGGCTTGTGCTTTCTGGCCGGGCGCCTCTTAGAGGACAGCAACCGGCAGGCCAATCAGACCCCTCCTGCGGCCCCTCCCGGACGTTCCACCGCCAGTCTGCATGCACACGAAGTATGCGACTTTATTACAGGGGGTGCAAGGTCGTTCAACAGGTTCTCATGCAAGATCGTAGGTTTTGGCTTTGCTTGGGGCATGCTTGTGCTGACCTCTACCTACACGGCGACAAGGGTAGATTGAGAACACTTCTTGTTAAGATGTGAAGTACACCTCAGAAGTCATTTAAGCCGGAGTTGTCACGAGAGCCCCTCAAGCGATCCCAGGCAAACTTGACAGACATCTTGGCATTGGAGCGCAAGCAGGTTACCAGTCTTCAGCGCTTAGCGGATGCAGAGCACATGTCCATTTGCGTCGATCAGGAGGCATGGTCCCACTTTAACCACACGTATCGCACGGTCCTTAAGAACGTGACGTGGACTCCAGTGGAGACCAGTGGGGACATACCCCAATTGCTGCACGATGCACACTGTAGTGCAGCGGTCATGTACCAGGAAGCCATTGACAGCATGCACGCTGGGAAATTTGCTGGGGAAGGGCGGCCCTTGGACTACGACTGCAAGATCAGAAAGGTCCCCTCCGAAGAGGTATTGCTGACTTTTGCTGTCGGGTTTCCGGTTGCCCCTCCATTAGTGCATGGCCTGTCATGGGCATTGACAAGTGCGTTGGAAGAAGGGACGGCTGCCACAGCAGAAATCCAACATAGGGCTTCCTTGAGGGGCAGTTTCGTAAGCAATTGCGGCGTTACAGAAGACTCTGAGAAAGGGCTTGACTGGCCGGACGTGCTGGGGGCATTGATTGACGCCTTCATCATCATAACGCTTGGTGCCTGCATCTTTGTCATCTTGTTTCTTCAAGGGATGTGCTGCAAGAGGGTGTCGCAGCCCACGCCGCAGCCCTCGCCGCAACCCACGCAGCAGCCTACGCCGCAGCCCACGCCGCAGCCCACGCCGCGGCACACGCCGCGGCCCACGCTAGAACCCCCCTTCCCCATCGAGTGAGCGTTGAAGCTGGTGAAGCCTCTGCTTTTTCAAGCTAGTGCTCAGTTTAGTTTATAGCTGCCTCAGTCACTGATGGCAGCTAATTACAATTCGTTCCCTTGTGTACAGGTCGACTAGATATTCAGCCGCAAGTGCTGAAGGGCGTTCTTGGATTTTGTAGCTCCAGAGGTGTCTCAGGGCACATTCCCTGCAGGAAAGGTGGCTTGGGTGCTTCTGGGTCCAGCTTATCTCTCTCTCGCTCTCCGTCCCTCTGCGTGCGCATGTGTCTGTGTTTGTGTGTGTGTGTGTTTTACTTGTACATACAAGTCACATAACTTGCGTGGTCCTGCTCTGCAGTACTACTCTCTCCTATTGAGCATTCAGCCCTATCTACTTCTAGCTTTGCGTCTCTTCGTCCGTTGCCCGCTGCCCTGTGGCTAATAAAGAAGCCAGAAGCAGAATCGGGCGGCCCTCCGTGCCCAGGCCAGGGACCCATATACAGCTAAAGAAGCAGTGTTTCATTGACAAGCGGGAGTTGCATCACCGCTCTTGTTGATGCTAAAGGAAAAGTTCGAGATCAGAAAGCCGTGGCAAATCCACGCTCGCTGCTCCCTTAGCACCGAGGTGTTTGGCGTGGGATGGGCAACACGCAGGCAGCAGACGACAGGCATCCATGGCATTCTGGAGAGGAAAGGGCAGAATTCCGATCTTGGACCCCGTAGCAGCTGCGGGGCATCCCGGATCACGGACCTATCGAATATGCGTGTGGGTGTGTGTGGGAGGGCGGTGTCAATGTGATTTCAGTGTAGTCTACCGGTTCATGAGTCAATGCGGTCGCTACCGACGAAACTGGAGGCATTCCAGGGCCCAATGTACACAGCAGGAAGTGTCAAGCTCCATTTCGCAGCATGCACCCGACAGCAGCCGCCTCGTTGCAGTTCACTTGTCGTGATGTCGCGTTTTAACCGTACGGAGCTTTGAGAAGCCTGAACTCGCACACAAGAGCACGACCTGACGATCTCTGCACCTTCAGGCAAGTGTCCTACCTCTGAACACGGAATTTCCCAGACACACCTCTTGACCCGCGCTGACTCTGCAAGCCATGTCATTCCTGCAATCCTTTCATCCTCTTGCACAGCAGCACATCATAGCAATCAGCACAACGACGAGGACAAGCGAGCCACAAGAGTGGACCACCTTCGAAATATTTCACCTTTCCATCTGCAGCCAAAGCCATGCTGCGTCTTCTGGCGCTGCTTGCGGGGGCCGCTTCGGCGCTGGAGCCACCCCCTCGCTTCGACCTGGTGCCGCTGCACTGGGGAGGGCACGGGTTCGGAGGTTCATTGCTCGTTGCCTCGAGCTTGGAGGTTTCGGGCTTTTGGGAGGTAGGGTTTGTTGGTCCCTGCAGTGCGCTCTCTTCGCCTCGACACGGGGCCCAGGGTCGAAAGAAATGACACGGCATGTGATCACTAATCGACTCCTTCAACCAGGACTTTCCCGAGATAAGATACACTGGATCCCTCAGGCAAAGCTCTGAATCTTGCTGGAACGTTTTGAGCCTTTCGGAAAGGACCTTTCAAAAGCGCCAGAAGATCGCATCCTGGCTGAATCACAGACTGAGCTTGTTCTGTAGATATGCACAGTCATAATCATGATCACACCTTTCAAATTGATAGGAACGACCTACAGGCAAACGAACAGCGACCGTCGTAATTGCGATTCAATACGAACCATGCTAAATATATATATATATATATATATATATATATATATATATATATATATATATACACGTGTGTATGTGCATCAGTACATAAGTAGTAGGAATGACTATCACTTCAGCCAGCCGTCGTCTGCCTGTCTGTCGGTCTGTCTGTACATAGGTACATGCGTATGTATGTATGCAGGCATGTATACATGTACCTATGCATGTAATCGATGCATCTCTCTATCTACATACCTGCCTATCTATCTGTCTATCTATCCATCCAACTATCTACCTACCTAGCCTTATGTGCATGTAGCTATCTATGTCCGTAGTTCCATGTAATGTAAGGTATGTGTGTACATACGTATATATTTGGAACGAGAGAGGATCGCATGTACAAGCATGCCGTATGTATACAGATAGCGAGAGCGAGAGATAGGTAGATGGGTGGATTCTCTATTTGTGAAGAAGAGACACAGCGAGAGAGAGACAGAGGGAGCGAGCTTGAGCCATGACTTGTGGTGCGTGAGCACAAGTGAGAAGCTGCGAACGGTCCGATAACACATATTATAATGCGACTAGCCCAGCGGAAGATGTAATTTCGTGACCATCATTTTTCCGAAGCGGCACGCGTCAAGGCTGGAATGGCGCCGTCGCGTTGGTCCTGTCGCGCCACGACTTCGAGCACTCCTTCCTGCCAGCTTTGCGGTTGCTATAGCCTTCGTTCTGTGCAGTGGGTGCAGCTGGAACGGCGTGTGTTGGCGCGGACCAGCAGATTGTTGGAAGTTATAGGTCCTGTTCTATTCTTGTCAATGGGGTTGAACGATTGTGAATGGTCACAACAGGAGCCCGAGCGATGCCTTTCTGCACGGTTTCCCTACGGAAAGAGATGATGCAGCAGAGGTTTCAAGGCAGAAGGTTCAGCACTGCCGCAAGGTTTTCCAGGAGCACAATGCCACGTTGTTCAGCAAGCTCACCGATGCACACTTCGCAACCATTGGCGGCGCAGCGACTCGGTCTTGGACTTGATGACTGGATTTCGCACACGACGGACAGGTGCCCTGAGAGCCCGAAGCCTCAGCGGCAAAGACACATTCCAAGCAGCATTCTTGCTGTCATCTCGAGTTCGTCGCTCGCGCCGATCATCATCAAGATATCATCGTCGTCTTCTCTTTTCTGCTTTCACCACAACACCCACCATCGCAGTCGTCATCGTCACGTTTCGTCAATCTTAAAATCGCATGCTCAGAGCATTCAAATTCTGGCTGTCCGATCTAGTGCCAGGTCAGCAAGCACTTTCCGACAGCTTCTGCGGAGCTCCGAGGCATCGCCAGGCCATGCTAGCTCATTCCAATCGCCGTGGCTATCGCCACCTGCTCTGTCATGACTGTTAGCCTCCGCACAGCTGGCCTTGTGAGCCCCAAGCTCAACGATTCCACAGAGGCAGCTTGCTGCTGCTGGGCATGCTGTGACTTACGAGCCACTCGGCCCTGTGTTGCTGGAGTGAGTATTCGAAGCCACTGAAGACTCTTGCAGACAGCGGATGCTCATGTAGAGGGAATTTGGGATGCAGTCGATGAACTTACTACGTTCAGCGCGAAGGACGCCACCCTGAAATGTTCCTATCATATCATTCCTTGAGTGGCCATGCCACGCAAAGACACGATTCATGTTGCACTTCGCACGTTTTGCTTTGGCCGAGCCTTCTGAAGAGGTTTAGGATTGTTTCTAGAAATTTGTGTCCGTGCAACAATGGTTGCAAGGAGAAGCGAAGCTTCTTGAAGCCGGATCTTCAAACACAGTTTTCAAGACCCTAGCTTTGTTTGATGTACTGCCCGGTGCATATTTCGTTCTGCAGGTACCTTGCAGCTTGGTTGTATTTCCACGAACTTGCGCACAGCGACGTGGCTGCTGTGGACGCGCGCGAGTGCACTGGCATTGTTGCCCAGGTCCGGGAGTGCCCGAAGCCTGAGATTAGAAGGAGTCCTGGACCAATGTCCAAGATCCTCGAGAATGAGTACTGTGCTGTAATCGCACGAAACCTATAACCTCATTGCCAATTGTGAAATCTTTTCGACAACGCCTCACCGTCATTGTAAGGGCTTATTCAAGGTCATGCAAGGTTATAATAACATATGAGATATTACATAGTAATTGGCTCCAGCCGACTGTTCCTGCCGCTTGATCATCGGTTCTTCCCGTGACTGTAATTCTTGTTGCGATGGTCAACTGTTTTTTGACGTTGATTCATGCATGCGTGCTAGCAGGCAAGGCTCGAACTTGTAGCTCTGTCGTGGTGATTATTATACCAATTTAAAAAACTCGCCAAAGTGCGTTGTTCCTTGGCACAGGGCTCTTTGTTGATCTTCCAGCTTCCTATTGCAACTGCCAGCTAGCTGGGAGTGTTTGATCTTTGTGTAACCACTGCATCCAGAACAACTTTCGCTATCGAATTTCTTCCATATTCTTGCTGCAGGAATCTTGATGCTTCAGGTTTTTGCTGAACTGCTGTCTCAACTAAGCTGCTTCTTCGGATCTCGAGACGCAGCCTTGCGTCTTTTCGTCATCTGGCTGACCCTCGCAGGCGGCGGACGGTTCTGTGTTCCATGCCGCCAACATGGCAGCTCGACGCAGGGAGTACACGACTTTGAGACCCCATGATTTACACACCTCTACCGATGACACATGGTAGGTAGTATACATGCCTGGGCACGCCGCAAGCACGACGGTTCAGCTCCGATTTTTGACATCGATCGATTTTATGCGCGGTCAATCCAGGACCAGAGCCCATTAGCAGCGCGCAACCTTACACTGCGCATCCGTGTTCGCGATGCTGCCGGCGCCATCGTCTTTGAAGGCGAGTCCTTTTATTTCGTTTACTTTCAGTATTGAGGTTCAGGTCAGGTCGCTGGAGTTCAGAGCTTGCGTTGATCGCGAGTCCGTTGCAAAGCCTCTCATGCTTGTATGGCGGACGCTGCATGTTTGGTGGAGTGGGTGGGAGGATGCGTTTCTGGCTGCACGTAGCAAACGGGAAGCATGTGTGGGAAGCGTTTGCATCGCAGGAGTCGATTGGTATACCCTGCTCTCCACTGGAGTTAGTCGCGCCGTCAAGAAGGGTGACCTGCCTCTGTTCACCATGTCATGATCGCACCTTGGTGCTTGCTGCTCTGTACTGTATTTCAGCTCCGCAAAGTGGCGAGTCGTTCCTCGAACCGAATTAGACACGCAAGAGAGATGGAGATTCCTGAGCAGTGAAAAGGTAGTCGTTGTAATGCATGTCAGGATAAAGGTGTGTTTTTTTCTCACATGCCAG